GCTTTTTGATAGATTTTTTATTCTTGTTTAGTATAGTGAATTGTTTCCAGTTTAAGTTCAGGTCAGCAACGTCTTTCAATACCCGGTGGAGCCATAATGTTTTGTATCTGCTGTATGATTTACCTTTACAGCTAAAAAGCCAAGTTAAAGCATCATGAACCAAATTGCAGTTGGGGTGTCTCAGGATGTGCGCTAAGAAATTAATTCGTTTTTTCTTTAGTATAATATGGAAAGGAATATGTTTTGATTGTTTCCATAACCTTTCGTTCGATATTAGTCTGGGGTAGAAAATGAAAACTCGATTCAATATGGATAGAAACCCATTTTCTGTTATCATTTATTATTGTGGGAAAAGTTACAGAAAGGAATCTTGGAAGTATTAGACTATTCTCACACCGGCTTATTTCCAACCTCTTCTCCCGGGTTGCATAACAATTTATTTGGCACAAGTTATATTGGAATTATGGATTGAAATATGATGAGGGAGATGATATTTTTTTTTTAATTCCCCCCTCCCCTTTATAACTCCTTTCCCTGTCTTTTTCCTTTCCCTACTGGATAAATGATTTTGATGAATGCAATGATAATCTAAGAACCGTGAATAATCATAATGATAATGATTCCGGGTTCACTATAATAATGATAATGTGGTAAATAATGAGGATCCCGAGCATCGCTTGCCTAGTACAGATAAGGATTTATGGGGAAACTATTGACTCCAGTGAATGACATAAATTAATGAAGGTAAAAAGAAGAAAAAACAGGAAAAAATTAGACAAAACGATATAAAGCTCTTTAAGATAACGGGTTTCAGGGATTGAGATTACAATTACAGAGAAGCTGGATGCCTCCAGAATAGGACACGCTATATAGACATAAGGTTATCTTCCAAGGATATACTTAAACATAAGTCTTACTTTTTTCTTCTCCTAAATATCTAACCAGGCGTCTGGTACATTATTATTAATGGTTACAATTTCTTAATACTATCTTGCCGGTAACAAACTAATAGATTCCTACATCCTTACTCCACTCTTCTTTACTATGCTAGCTGACTACATAGTACCGTTCACTATAATAAAACGGGTATACATCATGTATAGGATCTACATAGGCGTAGCCAGGATTTTCATAAGGGGGGGGGAATTAAAAAATTACTGAGGGCTTTTCCCCCAGACCCTCTTTTGGGTGGGCCTTCGACTCGCTTTTCCCCGGCCTTCGGCCGGGTTACTTTAGTCTATATATATTCATAAAATATTTTTACAAATTAAGCCTGGAACAAATATGAAATATATTTTTATTAGTTTAGATAAAATAAAAATATAATAAATTACTTGTATTGTATATACCTTAATATAACATGGTAATAATTTATTCCAAACAATTATAAATAATTTATTTATAAATAGTAAGTAGACATAAAGTTGATATAGAATTAGTTATAAAATACTAGGTAAAATTCCACTTTTACAGACATATTTGACAGTTAGAGAATATATTACAGTTAATAATTTAACAAATTTTACTAATCAATGCTCTTGATATTAAATATAGCAACAATTTGCATACAATTATTTAACGCCATTAAGTTTAATTTTCATATTATTCATCCCACAATGTCTTTAAAAGATATTTTCTGATGTCCTTATCAATATTTTATAGTTTTCTGTAAAATATATAATTCGCTATATTGGTAAAAATTACTTGATTGTCATTTGATAATTAGATATGTTGTAAATCTACGACATGTAACATTCCACTGTTTGTATTGTGCTTTAATATTTTTTTAATTTATGATTTAAATCAATAGTTTTATAATTATATTTTACTTTTATTAAAATAAATAAATTAAAATTACTCACTTTATAAAAAATTGTATTTGATATATTATATTATTTAGTAATTTTATGGATCTATTATTAATAATTTTGTTAATTGTGTTCAATTAACATAATTTATTGTCATGTTTATTTAAATTTGTGATCAGTTGAAATAATTTATTTTAATGTTAATTGAGTATTAATTTGAATATCTATTGAAATGTTTTATTACATATACCAATTGATTGTTATACATATTATTATTATTATTATTTGATTTTTTAAAAGTAGAAATAAAATAAATTTAAAACACAAAAAATAATTTGTTTCTTTCATGGTGCCCCGGCACGTTTTTGTAAAAATAAAATAAATATATAAAATTTGCCTTAAATTAAAAAAAAGTAAAAAATTAAATTAAATTAAATTCAAAGGACATGACTTGTTTTTTTTAAAAAAATATATATAGTCAAATATTATTCTGATATATACATATACAAAGGTAAAAAAAAAATTTTTTTTTAATGTTTAATTTAAGGTGATTAATTTGCCGGACACTATTTTCATCGCACATATGCTCGTGATATGTGTGGTTGTGATGCTACGATGTTAATGAATGGGAGACCGCATATTATTCAAGATAAGAACTTTATGTTCATAGATTGCGTGATCACAAAATGTTAAAACTATACAATTTTATGCCATTTTATATTTTGATACGCTTATTATGCTACAAATTATAGTATATAAATTGAATACGAATTACACATTTTTTCATCTTATAGTATTTTCTGATCTATTTTGATAATTTAAATATAAAGACATAATATTATCTGATTTTCTTTTATAACTTAAAATTAGAGATTTAGAATAATCTAGTTTTCTTTAAAAACTTAAATTTAAAGAATTATCCAATTTCCTTTGACGACTTAAATTCAATGAGATTGAATTATCTAATTTCCTTTGACGACTCAAAATTAAAGCATAGGATTTTCTTTGATTTACTTTGACGATATAAAATTTAAAGACATAAAATTATTTAATTCCGTTTGACGATGAACATATTTTTTTTTGTTCGATATGAAATTCATAACTTAAAACATATAGTATTTTCTTAAAGTAAAATTTTTATTATGGACAATAAACTTATGCTAATTATGGATGATAAACTTACTGTATTGGAGAGATGACGGACATATACCTTGATATGGTTGAGACATACTTTGAGGATTACATTGCGTCTGACGCATCTAAGGATAGGACCTTATTAGGTAACTTATCGTGCCCTGGCTCTGGGTGGTGGACTAGAATGAGATGACTACCTAATCTAATGATATGACTGCCTAATCTATTGAGATGACTACCTAATCTATTGACATGATCAATGCCTAATCTATTGAGATGACTACCTAATCTATTGAGATGACTACCTAATCTATTGAGATGACTACCTATTGAGATGACTACCTAATCTATTAATATGACTGCCTAATCTATTGAGATGACTACCAAATCTATTAAATGACCAATGCTTAATCTATTGAGATGACTACCTAATCTATTGACATGATCAATGCCTAATCTATTGAGAAGACTACCTAATCTATTGAGATGACTACCTATTGAGATGACTACCTAATCTATTTATATGACTGCCTAATCTATTGAGATGACTACCCAATCTATTGAGATGACTGCCTAATCTATTGAGATGACTACCTAATCTATTATATGACCAATGATTAATCTATTTAGATGACTACCTAATCTATTGAACTTAAATTATTAAAATAAAATATTAAAACGTAACTAAAATTATTAAAATAAAATATTAAAACGCAACTTAAATTATTAAAATAAAATATAAAAAACGCAAAATTTGGAAAAACGCGAAATATTATATAATAATCTTTTTGATTTATCATTCTTACGGAATTCTACATATTTATCATTCCATTTTCCAAAACTTTTATTCCAAAATCTTTATTCCATATCATTTAATTTGATCAATTATTCCTTATGATAATGATAACGTACAACAATTTTATCAAACCTATGAAAACGTATGGACTCACGCGACTTAAACATAGACTAATGCGCTCACCGAGCAGTAACTTGATACTTTGTCGAAGAGGGGAATGTTAATTGTGTTCAATTAACATAATTTATTGTCATGTTAATTTAAATTTGTGATCAGTTGAAATAATTTAATTTAATGTTAATTGAGTATTAATTTGAATATCTATTGAAATGTTTTATTATATATACCAGTTGATTGTTATACATATTATTATTATTATTATTTGATTTTTTAAAAGTAGAAATAAAATAAATTTAAAACTCAAAACTGAACTTGTTTCCTTCAAATTTTAATACATTTCACTTCTGTCTTAAGACTTATCTTTGGCTTATATTCCATTTATTAAAAAACATTTTTGGTTTATTTTACATATTTATAAATTTATTTTCCCAAAAATCTAGAAATTATGATGAATAGTTTTATAAAAAAATATCAACTTTTACATTCTTTCTTTTAAATTATTATTTAAGATATATGCATACATATTTGAGGGTCAGGGAGTGGGGGGATGACTAAGGGGGATATTTTTTATTAGCTAAAAATGATATTTACAAAAAGTGATAAATTTTTGAAGGGAGTGGGGAATTTCCCCTTGTCCCCCATCCTGGCTACACCTATGAGGATCTATATACTAGTGAATGTACATGGTGCACGCTACAACTCCTAGTGGGGGATGAGTGCAATTTCTAGCGTGGTAATGAATGAATGAATGAATTAATAACTTGCTCCCAATGACATATAATAATACCTAGACTGACAATTCATTCATTAAAATGCATTTTTAATCGTCGTTAAAAGCAAATCAGCTGGACCCGCCATTTTGGTAACCTTTATAATAATTATTTTCATGTTAAAAACTAATATTAAATTGATAACTTACTTTCTTATTATCTCGATGATCAGGCAATTCTTTAATAAAGTTTGCATCAGATATAATATAAAATTAGGCTCTCGTTTAAAATTTTAATATTTATTCAGTAACTAAGATGGCGTCTCTAGCTGATTTGTATTGATGTACACTTTTAATGAATGAATCGTCAGTCTAGTTATTATTATATGTCATTGCTTGCTCCTATAAGAAACTCCCATATTTTATCTAGCACGTTGATCATAGACCTCTCATTTTAACTATTATTCCTAAAAACCATATGATTGAATTTTTCAGCCCAAGCCCTTTGCATTATGATCCCACGATAAATCCTTTTATTAATCACAATATTAATTCTTACACATTTTTAAATAATATTGAAAACCGATCAATATGCTCCAGATGTAATAAATCCAGGCGATTCTTTTGTTATACATGCTATATACCTGTAGAAAGTATTAAGGAACAAATACCATTCATAAAGGTATATATATATACATTTTTTTTGTTTTTTAGTATTCATTTGCAGTTACCATTAAAGATTCACATTATAAAACACCCCAATGAATTATCAGGTAAAAGTACTGCTGTCCATGCTGCCCTCTTAGCTCCTAATGATGTAAATATCTATAATTATCCAGATTTCCCAAAAATTAATGCTAAAAATAAAACTGTAAATAAAATTTATATTAAAAAGCAAAATTGTATTTAGGTGCTTTTATATCCTACAAGTGATGCATTTACATTGAATGATATATTAGCCTCCTATAGTTCAATAAATAATGTTCATGACACTGAGGAAAATGCTTTTCAAGCAATTTTTATTGACGGGACTTGGAAACAAGCTAATAAAATTTTACGCGATGAAAGGCTTCAAGGTAATAGGTTATCATTGCATTGGATTATAGTATATACTATCAATTAAATTAAATAAAAATATTTTTTTATGTTAAGATAGGATTTCCATGCTTTTGATTCCTTGATTTTTTCAAGGACTCTTATTTTTTGATACTTGCCTTTTGATAAATTAAATTAATCACTAAAAGTTTATTATGAATTGTAAAATAAAGAGCCAGTCTACAGTAAATTTAATGACCAGAATATATTTAAATATGTTATTATAATATTCTTCTCAACAAATAAGACCATAATTAGGGCTAGCTAGCATATTAGAATACCAATATTAATTTCCATGAGCAATTAAATTAATATTAAATCAAGCAATTAACCAACTATATTATCTATAAAAATTCGAACATTTTCCCATAAAATTTCAAGGTAAAATTATCTGATAATCATAGCATAGCTGATATACATTATAAACTAGAGGTCAACTTGGATAAACCTGTCCCATTGTGGTTTAGAAAAACTTTTTAGTCCTGCCCATAAATTTTTTACACATCATCAGGCCCATTCTATTTTAATTTAAAAATATATATATAATGTATGGGGTTAGACAATTCATGCATAAAAAATTGGGCTGGCCTTTACAAATCACTGATGGATTAATATTCTATGAGAGAAGAAAAATTAAAAATAATGAGCATATATGTCATTTTATTTAAGAACTGTTAACATTCACAACAAATTAAACAAGTTATTTATTATATTATCCTATACCAAAGATATCAAAACACAATTGTATAAAAATGTTGTTATAGATATAGATAGTCATAGACTAGAGATAGAAAAGCTTTTTTGACATTGGAGAAAAATTAGATTTAACATTATGGCCAAAGAATTTTCAGACCAAACTTTTTTTAAAAATTTTAACATCAGATCTGATTTATCTTATAACAGGTGAGACTGGGAAATTCGTTAAGAAATTTATTGGGCTCAGACGAGTAAGGCACATTTAGGCTGGGTCAGGAAATTTATGCAAAAAACCTAATTGGCCATGCCTGTTAATTTCTGCTTACTCATGTTTTTAAAAAATATTAGTCCACCCATTGTTTTCTAGCTTGCCCACCCATGGTTTAAAAAAAAATTCAGTCAACCTAACTACCATAAAAATAAGAAATTCGTCTTTCTTTTTTTCTTTGAAAGATAGATTAATGAAAAATGAAATATAAATAAAGGATGCACATTTGATTATGTATGAATTTATTAAGTTAAAAGAAAAAAATAAAAAATAGAGAGGTGACATGAATATGAGACACGATTAAAGAAACTATGCATGAGAAAATAAGGAGTGTTTGTTAAACGGCTTGATTTGAGCCGATTTTTAAAACGGCTAACTCAATATATTAGCCAGAAAAATATTACCTAAACCTTTAGATTTTGCTTATAGATGTCCGAACCTTTATACCATATATGACCAAAATTTCAGGCTTGCGGAATATTTTTATGGATAAAATATTGAGTTAGCCATATTTAAAAATCGGATTAAATCGAGTCGCTTAACAACACTTAGAGACAAATATTAATTATTATTTTTCCCCTAAAAAAAAGAAATATAGATGAAATATTTCAGTTTAAATATTGATGATATTTAAAAATAATTAAACAAAAATTTATTTTACTCCTCTGCTCATTTAACTTTTCTTAAAAACCTACTAGTACATTATTTAAATTTTTCGGCTCGCCTATATAAAGGGGCGGGCGGGTTAAAAGCTTGTTCATGGCAGACCTCTAGTTTATACATCAATTCTGAATAATTTGATGTTTAAAAAACTACAAATCACGTGATTCAAATTCCATCATACAATATACACTTATATTATTCATAAATTGATACAATGAACTATAAATATCAGTCATAAGAGTTTTATATTACAAACAATTTCAGCCTAAGTTTAAACTAAATTAAATATTTGCCCCCCTCCCCGCCCCAAGGATATTACGCCTAAGCAAATATTCCTGGTTATGGCTTATGTGGCTGAAATGAAATATATACTTAATAAATGGTGGGTATGAGAACTCCTACTCATAACATAATTTCCTTCAAACGATATTCCCAAAAAATTGAATTAATAATCTTAGTACAAGAGCTACCCAGCCCAAAGTCAAGGGCAATGTAAAAAAAATTTCTGGCCCCAGCTGGCATGCGATTGTATCTAAACCTTGAATAATCCATGAGAGTTAATCTTAAAAAGATTGGGCGGGCATCTCCAAAGAATATAATTGGCCTAATATCTAAATTAGCACTACATTTGGTTGTTTATAAAAATACAAATCTTTGAACGTGTCCTACATCAGTGGCCAATGTGTTAAATGTTCAAGATCTTATTTTCAAGCACCTTTTTAAAAATCTGATTTTACCTGAAATACGTTCCAATTTGTTTAAAATACCTATATAATGAATTTTCGACAATTTTTCCGTATAACTTTGAGTTATTTTAAATTTATATATAAAATCTAGAGAAAAATGAATATAAATTATATTTAAGTTCAAATGTTCATAGCAAAATTTTGTGAAATTCATAGGGTAGGTATTCCAAACATGTTAGAATACATTTCCGGTAAAATCAGATTTTCCAAAAATGATTTAAAGTTGAAAAAATAACAGCACAATGGCTAACAATATTCCAACTTACCCTCTCTTATACGTAGACGAATGCAAATTTACCTCAATAAAAAAGTTATATTAAATTTTTTTATAACTTAAATAAAAGAAATATTGTAATTTAAACGCTACTCAATATTTTATTCATTTAGAGATTACTCAATATATCGTCGTCTGAGAATTTGATTATCCTATCTCCACTTTTAGTAATTTCACAGGAAGACGTAAAAAGTTTTTGAATTTAATTCTCAAGCGACGATATATATAAACGACAGGATCCAAGGAGAAAGATCTGGGCCCGGTAATTGCGTTACATTTCGTGCCAAATATATTAGAATTTAATAGTTCTTTTTTTTTGTTTAACGCATTTATTTTTTTTATTGTTTTTTTTTAGGATTGCAACACGTTAAACTAAATAAATATCAAACCAATTTTTGGAGATATCAAAGAAGACATAAAAATGATCACCTATCTACCATAGAGGCTATTTATTATTTTGTGAAAGAATATCAACAATATATAAATAATATGGGCTTAAACGATCTCGATGTCAACTTAACCAAATACGACAACTTATTATTTTTCTACGCTTTTATGCATGAAAATATTAGAAATCAATATGCCGGGAAAAAGGTTATAAAAGCCTGGAAAAATCAAATTAATAATGCATAAAATCAATCCCCCTTCCCCATTTTTAGTCAAATTTTAAATTATGTAAATATTTATGTAGCAAATTTGTATATATTCACTATTACAAATGTGATTAAATATATTTTGTATAAAAAAACTCAATAAACTACTCTTTCTGATTTAACATAGCACATTATTTTTCATTTATAAGTAGTGTTTGTCGATTAAATATTAGCTAAGCCTTAAAATTTTGCTAAAATTTTCCACCATATTTTGTCGAAATTTTGAGGCTTAGGAAATATTTTTGTTGGCTACAATCTTGATTTAACCATTTTTTTTAAAAAATCGGCAAAATATAAGGTATATAGCAATACTAAAACAAAGCAGTATATTATCATATAGACGATAAATAATATGGTATCTTATTAGATTTTTTTAAATTTAACAATTTATATATATTATATAATTTATTATACTAAATAAAAATAATACAATATCTTCTATTGGGAATAATAATATTACAATTAAAATTTTGATCCACTTGAAAAATTTTAAAAAAATAAATAATATTCTATAAAAAATTATCATAGTATAATTAAAAAAAATATGATAAGTCAGAGATTTCTTGATGATTATTATGTTTCATTTTTTATAAATTTAAAAAAATAACTTACATTTCATTAACTTATAATGATCTAAATACTAATAATACGGTTTTAAATTTCAAAAATTGTAATTTATATTTTTTAAGGAAATATTTTGTTGTTTTCAATGTTCATCGATTTCGGATTCCAGTAAATTAACTTTGCAGCACGGGTCGTCGGTTGTGATTTTAGTTGACGGGTCTGAATCGACCAAAGATTGGATGGACGTTATTATTCGCCCGGGGGATAAATTATTTAGGTAAGACATTAACAAAGCAGAACCTTTCAATGTTTTAGTGTACGCTTTGGATGTACCTAGAGTGTAGTTGTGCCAAAAAAAGAGATTAGTTTGCAGATATAAGTAAATCATATATTTTCGTTTAAAACAAGGGGAATCCTTAAATTGAGGCAAAAGGTGCGCTATCAAAAATAAACTTTAAAATATTTACACTATTATAATCAAGATGGAAAATAAAATTTAACGTTTCCAAGAAAAAATCGAGAGCGATAAAAGAATTTTATGTTTTGGTAATTATAGGTTAATGGGGGCCATTATTTGAGCGTCGAAGCACACCTTTAAATATTAGTAAATGGTGCTAATCCACTGAAATTTAAAACGCTATATGACAAAAAAAAATTAAAATTAATCTTTATAATTTAATTTAGTAATAGTAAGGTAATGAATGTGGCACATAAATTTTTGGGGAAAAATAAACTAATATTAAATATATCTAACCAGTGCCCATAAAATATTTTTCCTTTATAAATTTATGCAAGTTTAAAAAAAAAATATGAGCCATTATTATATAATCATATAAAGTTTTATGTTTCATTATTTGGAATGTGCCCGAACTGCTTGAGGAAAGTTCTCAAGTAATCCTTCCCGTTTCTCTTTCGTTCCACAATTTTCCTCAAAGTTTCGTTCCAGGTCCCTTTATATAATTTATCAGTAATATATGACTGTAAAAAAAGGGAAAGTCAAAATAAAAACTAATCAGATTTAGAATTCAGAGAGCATCTTAGTTTTAACAGTTTCTTTGAACCAATTGTCAAATAATTTAATGGTTTTTCACAGAATTTGTAAATCGAAAAATTTTATAATTTATTGCTATGCAAAGAGCCTACACTAAAAAATTCTTTAAATTTATATAACTAGCTCGCAGCTTTGGAAACTTCAACTTTTAAAAACATAAAGCTATATTTTGCGTTTAAGTTCCCTGTTATACCTAGAAAAAAACGTATATCATATGGGCTAAGGTTAGGCTAATTTATTATTTATTCCAATAAAGGGCTTCCAACTGACTTAAAGTTAAGAAATTGACGATTCATTTGCTATGAAATACACATGAGTCCGCTGTAGACGACATTTTATACTTTATAGAATTAAATTCTTTTTTATAAGCTATTATATTTGGAGATCATAAAATGGCGTCTAGAGTGAACTCCCCTTAATGAATGAATCGTCAATCTTCTATTCAGGTTAATATATATAATATGCCGTCTGACATGTATAAAATGTAAATAATCGTTTTTTTTAAACATTTAGGGGAATAAATGTCGTCCATTCCTTCGCCTCTGTGAACTGATACGGAGTCATCGTTTAGCGCATTCAAATAAGTGGTGTAAAGGTTTTTTTGGTAATCTAAACTTTTGGCTATTGGTTCTGGCTCGGGTTTGCGCCAAAATTTTAGCATAAGAGAAGAAAGAACTACCGAGACCGACGAGAAAGCCATGGCAGCCGCACCCATCCAAGGTGCTAAGGATAGATGGATGAAAGGTTCTAGGATGCCTTGATAAATAAAATTATCGATTTTTAAAAATAAAAGATTAATTATTATGTTGGTTTAATTTGAAATAAAACTTTGAGAATAGGTCCGGCTAATTTAAATATTTTTTAGGGACCCTTTCTATCTTTTTATAAAATAGGTATATTTATCTTATTATTTCTAGAATTAGAAAATAGATTCAGTAGATGATGGGTAAAGGAACAGCAATATGATAGAGCAAACAAATATAACAAACTATAATAGGACATGGGTAGTGTAGATAATGTGGAGCAGAATATTCAAAATTATGGAGTAAGGATTAGTTCATAAAAATGACTTCTAAATCATGGAAAATATTTCCCGGAAAATAACCCCCTCCCCCTTTATCGAGGAAAAAAAAATTGCGGGCAAGATTTTCGAGGGAAATTATACTCCATTTACCGTTTGTTACGTATTCTCTTTTTTTTTATAAACGACAAAATGATACGTTTTTTTCGAAAACTATAATATGTTATTCAAAAATTTTCCATGGGAATTTGAGGTTGGTAAAAAAAGGGTTAATTTGGATCTTCATTTAAAGTCATCATGGGTAAAACCGATAGCACACATAAATATTTTGGATCAAAATATCTCTCATTGATTAGTTGATTTTATGTGAGTTTATACCATTTTATATAAATAAAACAAATAGTAATGTTTTTTTAATAATTATTTTACCCGCTGCTATGGGTATCGCTACCAAGTTGTAAATGGACGCGAAAAAAAAATTGAGCCTGATTCTTGCAACTACGGATTTTGATAGTAACAAAGCCGAATACACGTCAAAAAGATTATCCCTGATTAAAACGACGTCCGCAGCTTCTATGGCTATATCAGTGCCTACGAAAAAAAAGAGACGTTAATCAATAATGTCGGAGAACAATTAAATTTTGGAAAATACATTTTACTGATAATAATATCAAGATAAATTATTAAGCTTGAGAATATTTATAGTAGTGATCTGCATGGGGTAATTTTTCAAGCCCGGCCCAACCTGAATTTTTTTTTACAAAAATTTGTCCTGCCCAGTCTAATCCCGACCGAAAACTTTTTTATTTATCCTGAAAAGTCGGATCCGAAATAAAAATTATTTGTCTGCCCGGCCCGAATTTATTTAAATATAGAGAAATTTAATTATTTTTTTTGATAAAAATATTATATAAATATAAAAAAAATTTGCTCATTGTTTCTTGCAAGAATTTAAAAATATAGTTTAATATAAAATGTAATCTTTTCATATTTAAAAATTTAAGCTTGACCTGTACCGAAATTATTTTTATTAATAGACCCGGCCCGAAACCTGAACGGGTCTGGCAGTGAATTGCAGAACTCTAACTTATAGTATTCTAAATAGTCGGGTGAGTATTAATGTTCAATATACATTATTTTAAAATTTTCACGGGAGCATAAAATAACATATTTCCCATATTTTAAATGGGAAATCATAAATATTACAAATAAAGGGATTATTCTAAATAATTTTTTAACGCTTTTTGATTTATCAAAAATGCATTTTGCTAAAATAAAAAGACAACTTTGGACATAGTTATATGGATAACATGTAAATTTACCACTTGATATAGCTATGCCAATATCGGCCTGAGCCAATGCGGGTGAATCATTAATACCATCGCCAATCATCATCACTTTTTGACGTGTTGATTTCTATTTATTTTGTTAAAATAGTTTAATTTAAAAAAGGCATAATATGATATTTTCGAGTTCAAGTATATTAACTAATTTAGGGAATTATTAAGTTGTCACCCTCACAATTTAGAACCAGTCAAGTCGTCTAGTTTAGAGCTTCTAATTAAGTTTTTACTATAAATCGATCATGGAATCTTTCATTTTTTAGCTGTTTAAGAAACCTCGTTTGTCTACAACTTTTCTTGAATTTATCTCATCAATAATTAAGTGAGAACATATAAAAGCTTAGCCCAAATAATGTCTTGAATAAAATATTTCGTTTAGATATCTTTTTATTTTGCATGATTCTCTCCCAAAATCTATGCAATAGGTAATGATTGAAATCAGTTTTTTTTTCTCGAGAGCGAGAGCTTGTTCCTTTTTGAAATGAAGAAACTGCGCTACCCCCAATGACATATATAATATCTAGACTGACGATTCATTCATTAAAATGCATTTTTAAGCGTCGTTAAAAGCAAAGCAACTGAACCCGCCTTTTTGGTTACACATATAGTAATTATACTATTAAATTGATAACTTGCTTCCTTATTATCTCGATGATCCGGTAATTCTCTAATAAAGTTTGCATCAGATATAAGAATAAATTAGGCTCTCGTTAAATTTTAATAATGGTTAGTGTTACCAAGATGGCATCTCCAGCTGATTTGCATTGATGTACACTTTTAATGAATGAATCGTCAGTCTAGGTATTATATATGTCATTGGCTCCCCCACCCTTTATATTATTATATAAATTGTTTAAAAAATCTAAATTTAATATATTTATTATATACATATTAGATGTTGAGCCGAATTCTTATTACATTATATATAAAACACATAAAAACCAAGGAGGACGATGTCGTGTTATTACCATTTAAAGAAGATATTGAAATGGATGAAATAAAATTTTAATTTCCATAGTATAACAAATAATTTCTCTCTTCTAAAAGAGGTGGATTGTTTGTGTAAAAGATTCTGACATAGATTAAGATTTTCAACGTGTAAACATCGATGATATCCTGAACCTGATTATCAGAGCAGAGGGTTATGATTTTCTACCACAACATTTATACTGTGTTCGCAACATCAATTTAGTGGGCACAGTTGAAGCGGAGAAAGGATATGAAAATTGAAGATTCTAAAATACCCAAGTTCCTTTCAAAAGTGTTAGTTCTTTATGGAATAAGCAAAAATGTCCATAAATCTGTCTGTTAATATAATTTAAAAAAATTAGGAAAGTATTTGATATGTCCAAAAACAACAAGATGGAATTCATATTATGAATTTCATGGTATTGTTTATTAAAATCGAAAGCAAAAAAACTGCAAGATATTGAAAATTTATTTTAGGCGAGAGTGGCTATTTGTCAGATTCAAGTATATAAAATTTTCTACTCTTGAAAGATCAAATAAATGGAAGGGGAGGAGACAAAGAATATGCTTTTCTATTAAAAAAACCAAATATAAAGACTCGTTAAAAATTTTGGCAGCAGTAAGTTCATCTCTTGATATTGATTTACAATGCGGGAGAAAAAGTATGAACATTCTTTCCAATGATGTTTAAGTTCAAACAAAAGAGTGGAATTTTAAAATAATGGTAGAAGATTTTATTAGTAACGCGAAGAATGGTGGTTAGAAGTGTGGGTTTAAAAATAATCATAGTTGAGTCACTACAAGATAATATTGTGGAGGGGATTGTGATTACAGTATCTTGAACAATGGTCTGAAGCTAAAATGTGCATATATGACAATTATAATAACTTTCACTTATAATAAGTTACGCTAGTTATATACTAAAACTCTAAAAAAAATTAACAAATATTTAAATTAATTATTTAAAAGGTAACCTTCCCAACGCACCCATCTTGCAGCCTTTTGATCTTTCTGGCTTTGTGATTAGGGAGAACCTCTGCATACACTTTGCGTATGCCTAGTTTTTTGGCCACAGCTTTAGCAGTAACTTTATTGTCGCCCGTTAGTAAAATGACCTGAAGTCCGGCTTGTTTGAGGGCATAAACCGCTAAATGGGCTTCTGGTTTTATGGTGTCACTCACACTCAGGGTGCACACCAGAGTGTCTATTTTGTAAATTGAATATGTAGGTGTAAGATAAATAAAAAAACACAGAGAGGCATAGGTACTATTGTTGAAAATCTAATCTTAAACATGCCTAAAAAAGCTGTCTTAGTTAAACCAAATTACTCTACATTCACAGTGAATGTAGGGTTAGGTTTTTCATTAAATCTGGCCTAAACTAAATCATTTTCTTCATAAAATTTGGCTAACGCTAAACCAAAAATAGACTGGCTGAAGCTCTGCTAATTTTTAATTATAATGATTTTGTAATTCGAGATTTCTATGAATAGTAAAATTAAAAGGTAACTAAAACTATTTTTTTAAAAATGATACTAAACATGTATTTATTTATTCGATTCCTATTTTAGGAAAAAATTTGTTTTTTTTAAAAAATGACCATTTAGGACATTCCTAACCTTTTACACTATGCATATAACTCTTACTAGATAATCATTATAATTTAAATTGGGCAAGTCTATTTTTTGGTTAATTAGCTTCAGCAAAATTTGATTAAAAAACATAATTAGTTTTACCAGCTTTTTGAGACCATTTTAGTCAGCCTATTATGAAACACTAGGCATAGATAGGTCTGTATTACGTTTTTATGGATACAAAAATTATAATCGATAACTTTAATTTTATGAAGAGTTATATAATTTTTTATCCACTAGCATGCATATTTCAAAGACATAGTTCAGGTTATAAAATAAAAAGAATTATTCACTATCAATAGCGCAGAGTACAACAGTATCCCCGTTTTCCTCGTGCACTCTCATAATTTTGTCGCATTCGGGATCTACCAAGATTCCATTCCTGCTCATCCATTCCCTATTTCCGATAATCACAGATTTCGCTATATTGGAGTGGGTTTGTTTGTTATTGTTGGAATCCTTATTTTCAGTGGTGAGTTTATCTTCCATTTTTTTTAAGAAGGATAGGGTAATATTTAAAATAATTTAATTGAGTTAATGAGGTAATAATCTATTTCATTTATGGTATGAAGTCGGATTCTAGGTGGTAAGAAAATGAAAATGCTCAATTTTAATATTGAGTTTGTAATTTTGGCTATAACCGGTTGGGGTTTCGTATATTTTTCAAATGGTGATTCGTTCTGATTTGGTTCTTATAAATGTTTTAGAAGGAGATTGCAATTCTTAGATTTCACGGATTCTGGGTTCCAAATTGTAATTTTTAACGATGACATTAATACTAGCTAAACTGATCATTCATTTTTTTGAAGTGTATTTACACTGGAAATAATCTTACTAATTTCTTCTAAATATCTTACTTCAATTTGTATATTTTTTAATGCATTATTGTTGTATTTATATATATTTTTTTGAAAGTGTATTTATAATTTGTTGTTTTAAAAAAAATGTCAAGGAGTTTTTTTGTAAAATAATTTTATTTTACGAAATATTCATTAATATATTCGAATAAAGAAATTATTTATCCTCTCTTTTTGTTTACAGTCCTCAGTTTTTATTTAGATGGAAGAAAGAAGGATTGAAAAAAAATTTTTTAGGGCCAATTTTCCTTGGGGAACTTATTTCCCGATTACCGAATGAAAGTATTAATGTTATTTGATATAAATACATATTTTAAAAACTTTTGTCTCGAGTAATTTTGTATGTCAAAATATCCGATGGTAATTTTATAGGGCTGCCGTCTTTGTAATCCGCTTTTAATTCTTTCATAGGAATTATATCCGGTTCGTTAGAAGTCAACATGATGGATTCTAGTTCGGATATAGTTTTCGTGGAAGTAAAGGTATCATTATTTGAGCCCAACATTATCTTGCAACCCAAACCACAACCAGGGGTTATCATAAAATTCGTGCATTCTATTAAAGAATCCGTAAAAGTTCCTATGTTGAGGGTCTAAAAAAAATTTTCATAAATAAATTATTTAAAAAAAATGTTAATTTTAACCACAAACGATTCTAAAACAAAGTCTTTATTTTAATCATGTTGTGAAAAAATCTTCAAAATTTAATAAATAGAACACATTCTTTTTTTTACAAATAAAATACGCCAGAGTGTAACATAAAACGATTAAAACACATTTCAGATATTTTTTCCTTTTTTTAAAATATATATATTCAATTCCGTCAGTAATTTCTATTTTCAATATTAAAGAAATAAAGGCAGCTTGATAATAACAAATTCCAGAATAAGATTTTTTTAAAAAGCAACAACCTAAGCTCACAGTGTTTAAAAAAAATGGTATTTATTGAGAAAGGTATATTTAGAAAAAAAAGTTAGAACTGAAGCTCCCAAATATATGATTTATAAAAAACATATATTTGGATTAATACCTTTTTAATAAATCGCGTTAGGGCGGTGGCTATAGGATGCTCCGAGTTATTTTCAGCATATCCTATATACAGAAGCATGTCTTTCAGGGATAGGGTAGCGTCATCAACAAATTTGGTTATTTTATTAACATTAGGTTTACCTAAAATTTAAAATCCAAAAAGTTACTTAACATATATATAGAAATTGTGCTGCTTATTTAATGAAATTATCTATCTCCTATAAATGTATTATCATAAAAAAGAAATATTTATGTTTCATCCATTTCAGGCCCAAAAATAACTAAATTTCAAGCAACATTGGTGAGCTATTATTATAAATATTTTACAATCCTTCAGGCATCATAGAAATTCCTTTCGCAGTTACATACAAACATTAGGAGAAAAGCTTGGTAGATGGCCTGAAAAGACCGTATTAGCGATATCGCTCATTTAATTATAATATGTTCCTGAACCAAAAATAATTTTCCCGAGCAAGAAAATTGTTTATATTAAATTAAATTTCAACTACTAACCTACAGTGAGGGTCCCTGTCTTATCGAAAACTGCTACAGCCACTCTAGAACTCCCCAACTTTTCCATAGTCTCCCCACCTCCTTTAAACAGTAAACCATTCTTAGCCCCTACCCCGGTTCCCACCATGACGGCCGTGGGAGTAGCCAGGCCTAAGGAACATGGGCAGGAAATGGCTAGAACAGTGATCGCGTATCTGAAAGCCTGCTCTAAAACGTCCCAGAAAGCCAATTTTTTTTCGATCATTTTAGGGGAATCGTGGGAAACGTTGAATGACGACGAAGAATGTTGGAAATGTTCGGAAGATTGAGAGTTCAAGGATTTAGGATAAAGGCCGACAAAGGTCCAAGCGATCAAAGTGAGCCCAGAGACCGTCATTACGAATGGAACAAAAACTGAAGCCACTTTATCAGCGAATTTTTGTATTGGGGCCTAATGGGGAAAAAAAATTTAATGTATATTGTGAAGGAAAGATTGGCGAGTTAGTACATATCAGTGATGTTAAAGTAAAGGAGAGGTAGCTCGCTAATAATTTAGAAATACATTCAATTTTATACAATAGATACACATAAAAATTGTTAAAATATATTTATAAATGATATTCTAAAATCATAATATTTTTTAATTTAATTATGAAATTGAATATATTTAAAAATCTGCATTACAAATTTAGTTTACAAAATAATTTAAAATGTCCACGATAGAGATATTAAAGATAATTTTGATAAGGATCTTATCAAAAAAGTGATTTCCCTGAAAATAATATGAAATTTCCTTTTACTGAATTTGCAAAAAATCGTAATCTCTATAAAAGATGTACCGGAAATTTTATCATCAAAAAAGACTAGTAGCTTCAACAAGAAAACATTTAAAAGTAATATATTATACAAATTTAATTATCATTGTAGACTAATCCTTAATCTTTAAAATAAAATTTGAATCAAAGCTGTATCTGTAATAATTTTTGAGCTAGATGAGTTTATGTGAAAGTTCTGGCCCGGTCCAAACATGGTATGTTTAAACTGGCCATAAGATATTAATCAAGAATTATATTATAAATTACAATAAATAATTTTTATTAACATTTCATTTTATCATCAGACTTATCTATTTAATGATAATATTTTATAAATTATTATCTGGATGTTAATTTATATATTTATAAATTTTATCAAAACATGAAAAAAATATACCTCAGTCATTTCTTATTTTAACCAATTTGAGAGATACCAGTTCAATATATTATCCCCTACATAATTTTCATTCTAACTAATACTATTATAATTTTAAACTGACCCTAGCCCAATCAAAAACGCTACCTTCATAATTTCTCGAATTTTTAAAAAATATTAAATTCCTGTAAATTCGAAAAAGATTCATACCACAATTTTATTTTTACATTAAAAATAGCTTGTCTCTTTTTTTCGCTAAAGTTAATAAATTACATTCATTATATTTTTTATATTCAGGTCACAGATAAATAAATATTTTATAATTTTTTTCAAAAAAATTTTCTCTCAAACTCTCCATTTTTAAACAAGATAAGTTTTGTCTCAGTCCCAAAAAATAGTTGAAATAATATAAAATATTGTTTATATAAATTTTTTTTTAAAATTATGAAATTATGTATGGGTTGGTTTATATCGATCAAAGTTTTTAAAAAAGATAATACTTTATTTGTAATTCTTTGGTATATATATTTATATCAGTATCAATTTAACTTCAGTAATATGAAATTTGATTAACCTCGATAATATAATATTACATGTCAGAATAATGTAACATAATATAAGTGACCTTTAAATATATCTTACAATATTAATATTCAAATGTAACAATTAATGACAAGAGAAAATATAGTAATAAAAACAGCTACATTAGAATATAAATTTAAGTATTTGCGACGCTAACCAGCTATCGCTCATTAGTCAAAAAGGAGTTGTTAAGCGCTGCTTTTAAAAGTAGCGCGCTATCGCTATTTGTCAGAAAAAGTAGCTCGAGCACTTATTAAGCTACTTTTTATAAAAAAAATTACAAACAAATTTTTCATCTTTTGCTTATAACGTTATTGTATAGTAAATATATAAAAATCAACATTTATTTTGATTATAAAAAAATTTATGTAATAAAAATAAATATTTATAGTAATTTGTTGCATTTTAATAATAAAATCATTTCAATATTATCATCCCCAAGTCTAGAGCGATGATCAAAAAAATTTATGTAATAAAAATAAATATTTATGGTAATTTGTTGCATTTTAATAATAAAATCATTTCAATATTATCATCCCCAAATCTAGAGCGATGATCAGAAAGTATAAGTTTTGCCTTACTAAATAATCTCTCTACACTAGCACTTGAGGGTAAGGGCGTATTTAATCTTAAATACATATTTTTAATATAAGATAGATAATCAATAATTTTATTTGCAAGTACATCATGTCTGGCATCCTAATATCATTTTGAGAGCTAATGCCACAGATCTTCTTTTTAAGTCCTAGGGTCTAGCCAATGGCCTGTGATTCCCAAATAAGCTCAAAATTGTTTAATCAGATCAATTTATAAATATAAATAAGTTTTTACCTTTTGTTATGTGTCCAACTATCTTCCGTGGTACATATATATGATATTTCTGATAACTCTATTATTAGAGCATCTTTCATCATTATGTTATATGTTATTTTATTCATTAGTGTCTGGCGGCATAAAATTGTTGTACCAAGGGATAGAGTTTTAATCATCATGGTAAATGATGGATAATCAACTAAGGACATTGGCTGAACTGTATAAATTATAAAATCAACAATAACTTTATCAGCCAATTTCTGAGAAATATTGTCATTTGCATTATTAATTAATTTGGTTTGAATTGAATTAGTCTTTTTGGATGTAGAGTCGCTTATACCAAAATTATTTAGATGTTTCTCCATTTCCTTAAAACTCATGAACAGTCTTATAAAATAAATATTATTAGAATGTAAAAATGACAATTTACCTTTAGATGTTTCTTGAGGTTATAGCTACTGGATTAATTTGAGGAAATATTTTTTTTTACATTTTAAACAAATAAATTTGAAACAGTTTTGGTTATATATTTATTTTAAAAAATTTTCAAATCTAGGGAATGGGAAATTTGTATTATAGCTATTAAGAACATTTTCTTCCCTGGTATCTTCCATTTCATTAATATCATTGTCTGAATCACTTTCAACGATTTGGATATCCATAGGCGATGACATTTTAAATTATTAACACGTGATTTAGGTTTATAATACAAATGAAAATATAAATTACAAATTGAAATTATATTTCAATTTCAAAATTAAATAATAAATCAAAAAAATTATAATTAATTATGATAATATATTTAAATTTTCATGTTTATACTTACCTTCATTATAATTTTTAAAAGTAGCGAAGTAGCGGCTACTCAGTTACTTTCATAAAAAGTAGCGTGCTAAAAAATTATTAAATAATTACAAATAAAGTAGCCGATATTAGCTATAGCTACCAAAAAGGTTAGCGCGCTACTTAACAACTCTGGTCAAAAGATTTAAAATTCTATATATAAGCTAAGAAATTTGTTTTATGAGCAAAATATTTGGGAGTATATTTTCAGTTACCTTTTAAAATAATTAAAACTAAATAACTATGTTGTAATATGAGGTCACATTATTTAATAATCTGTGGTAACAAAAATTTCTTAAAACCTGCAACAAACGCTAAAATGGTATCATTTTAAAATTCAGAATGAGCCTATTAAAATTTTTTTTACAACCCCAGGTCTATAAAGATTCTAAAAAAATTTTTAAATACCAATTAACCAATTGAAAAATCCCATTAGGGATCATTAGGCCTTTGTTTCTCATATTTCGAATTTCCATTTAAAAATAACCAGTTATGAAAAGAGTAAAATTATTTAAAATGACCAAATTTTAAAAATTCAAGGTAGGATAGGGTTTCGAAAGGGGAGACCTATGCTAGGAACTAAAAAAAATTTTGCTTCTGCAGGGTTTCCAAGTTTTTAAAAACTTGATATTCGCAATTTATTCCTTTAATTATATATTTAAAATATAAACCTTAGACATTTGAGCATCTTCGACTAATTTGACGATTTGTGCTAACGCTGTATCTTTACCCACGTGGGTAGCCTCCACATATAAGACTCCATTTTGATTTATCGAACCTCCGATAACTATCGAACCTATGGAAAGTGGGAACAAATATTAATTTATGAGAGGAATATGAGATATATATAGATGGGGTCAGCCAGAACTGGTTCAGATTCACTCCACAATCCGTAAGAAAAATGAAAATAAGTGGTTGCATTAAGTGTAAGAAAAGAAAACCAAATGGAATCTAATTATTTTATCGCCAAATTTGGCCCAGACGATGACCACTTTTTTGTATTTTTTCCAATTGTGTGGAGTAATCTGAACTGATCTGGTTAACCTTTCGAACTTGTTTTGGTTTAAAATGTGGAAAGGGATAAATTTATAAATCTGGCAGCGTTTTATGATTAAACTTTAGGAAAATTCCTATATATTATTGTAAATACCTAAATAATAGAGCCAAACACGCCCTAAATTCGGTATAAAAAAATAAGGGATCAAACTCAGACATTATTTCTAAAACAAGGGTTGAGACTCGGATTGGACAAGAAAAAATAGACCAGGTGCAGAGATCTACTAATTATTATAGTTAGGTAATGTATAATAAATCAGTTTATCCGGCTCGATCTACAGACACGTGCCGAAAACCCGCAAATCATTAATGGCGGGGTTAGTTTATTTAGGCTTTCCTTACAATTAAAATATAATTATTTTGTTTTACAAAACCGGAAATCTGAGGTGATAGTTTTCGGCTAAAAACTAGATTTGGCCGGCAATTCCCGATTATACTAAATAAGTTTTTTTTTATATCTAAAACCAAAATAAAGTGGAATGAGGAAACCTTCGGATTTATATACGGGCAACGATTCCCCAGTGATGAGTGATTCGTCCACGTAGGAATAATAATCGTAATTTTTAACGGTCCCATTATCGAATTGGTTTGGCTTAGTTTTGTTGTCCCGTTTATTTAAGGTTGGCGATGTTTGAGGGGAAAGAATTGAAACGACTTTGCCATCTACGGGAATTTTTTGGCCAGGCAAAACTTTCAAGATGTCTCCCCGTTTGACCGTAGCTACGCTTATAACACTTTCGCGAATTTCCATGGTGTCTTGATCTGGTTGTTGCAAATAAGGGGATTATAATTATGCGATAGTTTTAAATTATTAAAATATTTTTGAACGTATTTTTTAAAAAAAGAAGTATTCAAATTATTGTAAAGCTGTATTTATATGAAATGATTTTTAGAATAATTTAGATATCAATTAATTACAAATAATCTCAGTATCAAGTATTAATTAAATTTTAATATTTCACAGACGATAATTATGGTTTTTAACTTCTCAAATATGTATCAATAAATTCGTACCCCCCCCCCCTCCCCACGAAGCAACACAATCTCTTCCTAACGCACCTCAATTATTATATTTATATCTTCATATATAATTTATTGTTTTTAAATGAAGCTACTGAAACAACTAAACGTACAATAAAATATAAGAAAAACAAAAATGGCCATGAAAATGGGGCAAAGTATTCCCGATTTATCTCAGAAGAAATATTACAAAATTAACATTCACAGTTAGCACGAATTCGCGGCGAGATATATATAATATAATAATTTTTGTAACTAAGTTACAAATGTTCTAGCTGTGAATGAAAAATAGGCTGATCCCTATATGGGCAAAATTTCAAAAAGGAAGCCGTTTTTTCGCGAGAGAAAATGCAGGGCCATCAAAGCGAAAAATAATGAATCAAATGTTACCAGTAGTGTTGTTAAGAAGCACGATTCGGGTCCATTTAAAAAAAAACCCGATTAAGATTATAGCCAAAATAACATTAAGTAAGCCTAAAGATTTTGCCCATAGCTGGCAGAAATGGTTGGACAACTAATTCAAAATAAAAGAAGATATTTATGATATAAGGGAGAAAGGATAAAAAATATATTTACCATAAATATATTATTTGCAAGTATTTTTTTTTAAAATTAATATAGCTCGTTAGCTAAAATATTAGCATTCTCTAAATAGTAGTGTTGTTAAAAAGCCAAATGTTGGTTAATTTTTAAAAACGGCACGATTACAATTTTAGCCAAAATAATATTATGTTAGCCTCGAGATTCGGCAAATAGATTGATTTTGGCTAAAATCTAATCGGGCCACTCTTAAAAATCGAGGCGAATCGGGGTTTTTAACAATACTACCAAATAACCAATTAAAAATTATTTTTTTTTAAAGTTACTATATTAATTAATTTAGCATGGGGGAGGCAAATAAATAAAAGAATGTATTTTCCTCTTTTTCTACCGTTTCATTAATTAAGGTCTGCTAGACCTAATGGTGCCATTTTTGTTTACATAACAATTTGTCAAAATTTTGAATTACTAAACTATGGATATTGAAAAAATCCGGAGATATGACAATATTAGAAGCAACGACGTCATATAAAAAAAACGAGTAGGTACCTTTACTAAACTCCATCAAAATAGCTTCAAGGGGTTGCAGCGATACGAGTTTGGTAAGGGCTTGCGAGGTTTTCCCTTTAACCATACATTCCAGCCAACGTCCCAAAGTGACGAATATGATTAACATGGGGGGAGTGTCGAAAAATGTGGCTGGGAATTGATTTTTATTAGAGGATTGATGAGAAGAACGAATGCTGGACCCGGAAACTGGTGTAAATATTTGTATATTAATTATTTTTCAATTATATGTGATTAGATATCAATTTGTCGCTGTATAAAATAAGTGAAATGTATATTTTGACTATTTAGATTTTTTTTAAAAATTATAATTACACCCACCTTTTTTGATTAACCTAAAAGGAATTGCTGATTCTCCCCCCCCCCTCCCCCAATTTTTGGTCATCTGATTTCAATAGGAATATTTTAATTAAAAAAAAGAAAAAGATAATATTTTATTTATCGATTTTTGGATATCTGTTATAATAAAATCATTTAAATTTATTATCGGATAAATTTCAAAATATTTATAACGTTTAGATAGAAAAAATTTATTTAGTAAATGTTATAAAAATGAAAAGGTAAAATTAATTTTAATTTTAAGATACAATAACACATTTAAGGGGTTATCAATCCCAACGTTACAATGGGGATATTTACCACTTTATGAAGGGTTGAGAAAAACTAAATTTAATTTTCGTTTAATAGTTGACTCGGTGCCCGCGTACTTATAGAATTATATTTACTATTCGATCATCCTTTTGTTTATCATGACGATAAGGAATATGAAACAGGGAAAATGTAATATGAGGAATATAAAGTGAAATTTTAAGAAAGAATGTAAGCATTGACGAAGTCCTATTTTGATTAAATATCGTCTGTGAATTTACTTTTCTAAATGTATTCTGGATAGATATAGGGCGTTACAACCTTCAGAAACCCCAACACTTAAGTTAGATTCAATTTTTGTAAGCAAAATTTTAAATGGAGAAGTAACTAGTCACACTTCTTATACCTTTTTGGTGGCCACACAAATTTTCTCATTAATGTTACCATTTCCCCATTAGCCTTGCAATTCGAAGCTTGCCAAATTCTCTCATTTGAGGGCATACAATAAAGTGATCTTTAATTTCTGTCATAAAATCAACACGATTAAATCCCATTAATTCATAGTGAAAGTGAGGGTTCAAACATATTATATATAAATGATTTCTGCCCCAAATAAAACCATCACCTAGCAAAATCAAGTTTTTTTTATATATCATAAATTATCTTATTACGATTTGTAATGCTTGAATGAATTAGTTAAAAAGATTTTTTAAATTAATTTTTAACTAAGTGAAGATTAAAATTTTATAATATGATAATTTAATTATACCGTACACCTAATTGTGAGACATTTTCCTAATAACATAATTCTTTGTTAGTGGAATATGCTAGCAAATATAATGAAAAGACACATAAGAATATTCAAGTTCAAAACCAGAATTATTTGAGACGGAAGCGGCAGAAAACATGGATACGGCAGTTACAATGACGGAGTAAGCATAGGCAATCGTGGTAGCCAGAACTACCAGCGTGTCCATGTTTAAATGGTGACGACCCTTGGCGAAAGCTCTGTAAGCTTGAACGTAAAAGTATTGAGCCCCGTATATCTAAATTGTAAATAAAATTTAAGAAGTTAGTTAAGAAATAAAAAAAAAATTTGCTGGAATTAAGGTAAAATTTAATAAAATTCATGCAATATCCAGAAAATCAGGTATAATTATAAATATATATTTTATATTTTAAGTTCAGGTGCTAATATTTTGAACAGCAAGCAACTCAAATTTATTGAGGATTATTATTGGCTTAAAGAAAATGTGGAAGATATCTGCAAGCATTCAGAGGCAAGTTTCAGTTTGAAACTATCCAAGGATGCTACTAATGAACAAATATCTCCACATGTATTCACATGTATTATAACATGAAATTAGAACTAAATAATAATCTATATTTTAGGATTATGAGCTAAACATTCAAGATGTGGTGAATGTACAAACATCATCATCACAGGTATTATAACATGAAATTAGATCTATATAATAAACTGTATTTTAAAATGATGTATCAAATACACAATATATCCATAAATGATATAGTTAATCCACTGTAATCCTATAGACATGGATATGTCTAAGATTGAAATAATAGAAGTTGAATATTTATTATATAATTTATTAATTAAATAATAGTTAGACAATTCTAATAAAGAAAAAATTTCTCCTTGTACCTCTAAAAGAAAAAATTTAGGGAATCCTAAATCTAAAAGAATGAACAAAAGTAAAAAAATATGAAACTGAAAAGATGGATATATTTAAAGGTAAATATTTATTATATTTAATAATTATTTATTTTTGAAATAGATTTTGCAAAAAAAATATCACATGATGATGATATACATAATGTTCAGGGATTTTTTAAGTCCTTCCAAACAACATTCAATCGAATGATGGAGAAAGAAATATATGATATGAAAATGAAATTTTTTTCAGAATATATATCTTTTTATATGTAATCTTTTATACATATGATGTATAATCTTTATTTTTAATATGATATTTATAATACGTTTAACATATTTTTTATATTTTTATAATAAATATTATTATGTCTAATGATCATAATAAAATCTATTAAAGGATATGCATCGTCACCTACAAATATGTAAGGTGATAATATATCTGTTGAGGGTAAAAAATTTGGATTGGGAATCTTTATGATTTTTTTGATCATCCTTTCATAAAATAGGCTTTTAGAAAATATACTTCTATCTGATATAGATCCAGGAAACCCAACTTCAATCAACATGAATCTAGAAAAGAATTAAAATTTAGAAAATATATAATTACCTAGCTTTATCACCTGAAATAATTTGAATCACAATGGAATTGAATTTTTTATAATTATAAAATGTGGATCCACTTTTTTTAGGTTATTTTATTTTGGCATGTTTTTCATCAATAGCACTTATTATATGAGGAAAACCTGATTTCCTGAAGTATCCTGCTGATATTTCAAGCATCTGTTGAACTGTTGGTAAACAGAGATGCTTGGGTTGAAGATCTACCCATAATAACCTACATGTTGCTGTGACAATTGTGCATACTGATGTTTTTCCAATCTTTGTATATAATGCTATATTTCTAAAGCTCATACCCGTTGTCAAATATCTATAAATATATACAGATTATAAAAAAAAATCATCATACATGAGTGTTATATAGAGTCGATGCATTCATACTAGAGTTTTTATGTATAACTATACCGGTGTCTATAGACTCCAAATTTATAAGAATGTAGTTGAATGTTTCCACATGCATGTGGAACATCTGACGAAATTTGTCAGGATAAGATGGAATACTATCAAATATTTTAAAAAGTCCTTGATCTCTAGAATTAATACATATAATATAAATATTATCATATATACTGGCCTTCTAAAAATCTATGCCTTCTTCTATGCTCAGTCGTATAAATAAATAATATAAAAAACAGAAATAGTAAATCATTCACATCAAACATTTTAAAATTAAAAATAAAGGTATGAATCGGGACATGTTTCGTATCTCTCAAATCTCCCGAAAGTTTTGCGATTCGCAAAACTTTTGAGAAATTTTTTTTTTTGATTTAGGACACAGCTTAAAGAATCTAAAATATAAAACCCTAAATGGTGACCAGTCTGAAAAATAATAAAATACTTTTTCTATTTTTGCAATCTAAAAAAGAGTAGGGTTAAGGTATATTATATGAAAAATATTTTTTAAAATTATTTTTTGGAATATAGCAGCACCCTCTTTGATTTAAAAAATTGTTATTTACAAATAAAATCCTGCAGATATTTTAACTATTTTCTGATAAGCTAAATTTATTGCAAAGCTGAATTACATCTTTATAAGCTTGTCTACCATATAAATATTTTATTTTAACCGGGGCGTGTGTTAGCCCTACCAACATTGGTAAATAACAGAGTTGTTAAAGTAGCGTGCTATTTGGTAGCTATAGCTAAAAGCGGCTACTTTTTTTGTAATTATTTAATTTTTTAGTGCTCTAACTTTTTTGATAGCCTCTACTATTTTAAAAAATATAATGAAGGTAAGTATAAACATGAAAATTTAAATATAATATCATAATTAATTATAATTTTTATGATTTATTATTTAATTTTGAAATTGAAATTGAAATATATTTTCAATTTGTAATTTATATTTTCATTTGTATTATAAACCTAAATCACGTGTTAATAATTTAAAATGTCATCGCCTATGGATATCACAAATCGTTGAAAGTGATTTAGACAATGATATTAATGAAATGGAAGATACCAGGGAAGAAAATGTTCTTAATAGTTATGATACAAACTTGCCATTCCTTAGATTTGAAATTTTTTTAAATAAATATATAATCCAAAACTGGCTTCAATATTTATTTGTTTAAAAGGTAACAAAAAATATTTCCTCAAATCAATCCAGTAGCTATAATCTCAAGAAACACCTAAAGGTAAGTTGCCATTTTAACATTCTAATAATATTTATTTTATAAGACTGTTCATGAGTTTTAAGGAAATGGAGAAACATCTAAATAATTTTGGTATAGGCGACTCTACATCCAAAAAGACTAATTCAATTCAAACCAAATTAATTAATAATGCAAATGACAATATTTCTCAGAAATTGGCTGATAAAGTTATTGTTGATTTTATAATTTATACAGTTCAGCCAATGTCCTTGGTTGATAATCCATTATTTACCAAGATGATTAAAACTCTATCCCCTGGTACAACAATTTTATGCAGCCAGACACTAATGAATAAAATAGCAGATAAATTTAAAATGATGAAAGATGCTCTAATAGTAGAGTTATCAGAGATATCATATATATGTACCACGGGAGATAGTTGGACACATAACAGAAGGTAAAAACTTATTTATATTTATAAATTGATCTGATTAAATATTTTTGGGCTTATTTGGGAATCACAGATCATTGGCTAGACCCTAGGACTTTAAAAAGAAGATCTGTGGCATTAGCCCTCAAATGATAATAGGATGCCAGACATACAATGTACTTGCAAATAAAATTATTGATAATCTATCTTATATTAAAAATATGTTTATAAGATTAAATACGCCCTTACCCTCAAGTGCTAGTGTGGAGAGATTATTTAGTAAGACAAAACTTATACTTTCTGATCGTCGCTTTAGACTTGGGGATGATAAATATTGAAATGATTTTATTATTAAAATGCAACAAATTACCATAAATATTTATTTTTATTACATAAATTTTTTTATAATCAAAACTGAGCATATTTTAATATTTATAAATGTTGATTTTTATATATTTACTATACAATAACATTATAAGAAAAAAACAAAAAATTTGTTGTAAATTTTTTTTATAAAAAGTAGCTAAAGCTACCTTTAATAAATAGTAGCTAATAGCTAGCTACTTTTTTTGACAAATAGCGATAGCGGTAGCGCGCTACTTATAAAAGTAGCGTTTAACAACTCTGGTAAATAATAACTATTGGAATTTTAAAATAACGTTATTTTTTTTTGTTCTTAAAATCCAATATTAAAGATTTAATTCGTTACTTGCACGGGTGTACAAAGCAAGAAGAGGATCAAATTCTCTAGACTCAGACCAGGCAGAACTACTATCGGCCGATGTTTACTTTCCGAATTTTTGGGGGCATGGTGGCTGTCGTTTTTAATCATGCCGTACATCATTACGACTATGACCGGCAAACCAAACATCATAGCTACTAGGAACGATGAACGCCATTTTTTGGTTTCGATCAAATTTATATCGTCTAATTTGTCATTATTTTTCATATCATCTGGTTTTCTTCTCACGTGATAATCGTTTGAATAATCGTTACCGGTTCTATAATTGTTTGACGAATATGTTTTATTTTTCGAAGAGGCAACCAATAGATTCTGATTGACGTTATTGCTAATACTACTAGATGAATCCTCTATGAGACGAACATTCCAGCCAGCATCCTTTCAAGGAGAATTTTTTTTTTGTTTCAAATTAAATTAAAATGTAATTACATAATAGATCTTATGCACGTTACAAGCTGACCGATCATCCAGGAGCGCAATTTTTTTAAAAATAAAGTTGAACAAGGTCGGCATAAATGATGATAAAAATTTAAACTGAAAACGAAATAATTGTTTTTTTTTATAATTAAAAAAAAAATATCACAATATAAATTTAAAATAAAATTAAGTATATGAAACTCGTGAAATTCAATCAGAGTTTAGGGATCTAAATTTATAGCTCAAATTGAACAAAGTTGCTGTATACAATTACAGATTAATTGGGTATATACCTCTAAGCCCTCCATTATAGTCTTAGGTTTCACTTTATCGGAATCATACGTGAAAAGTCCTTTATTAGTGCTGAGAGCTACGCTAGCTTCCTGGACACCCTTCATTTTCTTGGCCAGCGTCTCTATTTGATTTACGCAGGATGAGCAGGTCATACCCGCGATGTGCAATTGCAGCTTGCAAATTTTTTGACGATCAACGTTATCACTATTGAGAAGAGACAAATCATTCCCAGCGAGTTGAGCTCCGAAACCCATGTCTAGGATCGAATCGATTATTTGTGGAGGTGATATGATAGTTGATTGATATTGAATAACTGCCTTGCCGGTTAAAAGTGCGACGGACACTCTTTCTATCCCTAATGAAAAGGTGTTTTTTATAAGAATTATTCGAAATTTGACGTCTTCGTTATTTAAGTTAAAGTGACATTTTTTTTAAAAAAAGTCACTTCAACTATTATGTTTTTTCAACGCAAAAAAAACGATTTGCACTAAGAGGTCTGCAAATGGTAACATTTTCAGGCCTAGTGTGGTTGAAATTTAACGGTTAATGATGCTTACTATCTTAAGATATTGCCTTTCAAATTTTATTTTGTTTATTTTTTATTTGGATAAGCACTACCAAGTATATTTATAATATATATTTGAAAAATCGTGATTTTTGGAAAGCGACTGTGGCCTAGTCGGCAAGAGAGTTAGTTACCAATCTGATGGTTTTAAGTTCGAATCCCAGCAATGATCATATTTTTTCTTAACTTGGTGGTTCCGTCCTTGGAGGATGATATATAGGAGGCCGGACTCGACCATGTGATTCCATATTAATATATGTTAAATAATAAGGGTCTTATTACATTTTAATAAATTTTGGTATTTGGCAGTATGTATCAAATAAAAATTTTAAAATCACGATTTGTTCGATATTGCTTTTGGTAGTAAGCATCAATAATCAAATTTTAACTATTGCCCAGCCCGATCAAAATTGTATGACCTATCTTAAATTTTTACTGGCTGCCCGTCGCGGTTCTTTTAAAATACAAAGCCTAACCCGAAATATATAGAAGAACACCAAAATAAATAATGGAGAATAGTTAAATTATAAACACTACACAGTAATTCACTTCTATAAAATATAAGAATAATCCAGCCCAAAATGGTAATCAAAAATGTAGTGTAGATATTGATAAATTGGTATTGTATGTCATTTCCAAAGTTCAAATATTGTTGTTGAGATAAAAATTTTATACTGGCATATTTTGGGGTGGTAATATGAGATAAATGTATTGGCTAAATATAATTTAAATTTATTTGTTAAATCTAAATTATAATAAGTATTTAAGATTAGTGAGGGAGGTTAATTTTCTGGCATGAGAAGATATTGATAAATAGGTATTTTATACTATTTGCAGAGCTCCCATATTGTGGTTGAGATAAAAAAAAATTTTACTACCATATTTTGGGGTGATAAATAATTCGAATTCATTTGTTAAATAAATTGTATATAAAAATAATTTATAAATTTTACTTTGATTAATATAAATATTTACGCTAAAATTAATATGAGATAAATGTTTATTTTTCAATTGGCTAAATATAAAATTTGCTATATAAACTTTACTGTGTGACAAGAAAAATGGGAGAAGAAAACAAAAACAGTTTTGGTGTAGAATTTGACGCTGAGTTCGAATCCGTTTTCCAAATTTTCCCTACACGTCAAGTTTTAAAAATATTACCGTATAAAGACAACTTTTCGAAATCTCAAAAATGGTAAAATTTAGGTCATACGAATATATTTTAAAAAGTATAGAATAAAAATCCCTGAAAATTGGTGATAGTGTTAAACTTATATTTCTTTATAAATTTACTAATTTTTTTTTGAGAAAAATGGTAAAGAATTTCGTTTTGGGGGTCTTAAGTTTTCAATTTAAATTACTATCAAAATTATTAAATTTAGAAGATAAATTTTATATAATTTTGCTTCAAATATGCTCAAGATTATATATTAATTCTAATTATGTTTCAAAAGTATTCTATGCCATGAAAATTCAACCAAAATCTATAAATTAAAAAAGTCGGTACAGATATTTTCGAACTTTTTAATTTGTACACTTTTATTGAATTTTCTCTGCATAAAGCATTTTTAAAGCAAAATTAAGGTAATATTTATCTTTTTTAGTTGCATTTAGTAATATTTTATGTATTTATGATCAATTTATACCAAAATCAGATATCTGTACCCACTTTTTTAATTTGTACTCTCTTTGAATTGAGCATTTTTGAAACAAAATTCATTTAAAATGCAATAATTGGTAATTTTTTCATATTTTTTATTGATATTTATCTTTTTTTGGATGTTTATAAGAATAATTGTTTTTTTAATCAATTTATATCAAAATAAATGATTTTCCAATGGAGTACCTTGAACCCGTAGTATGGGAATAAATAATAATGCCAAATAACGAGTAGGAAGAAATAAGAAGAATTATTTTTTTTCGCGCTTAATTTTTCATAAACATTTAATTTCTTTCATTAATTTTTTTTTAAATTGGATTTTAAATATTATTCGAATTCCCTCCTAATATAATATTCTATAAAAAATTAATGCCGAGGTCCCCTTGTTTAAAGTGTGTCTCTAACTTTTGTTACATCTGTGCGGGCTATATATTGCCCGCACAAAAATGTCCAATTTCTCCAATCATTCAAAGGATTTATGAAGTTTATTACAATATTTCACTCTGCGATTTGGATAAACCATTTGCCCCTAATTACATATGTAAAACATGTTATAATTCTTTTAATTCATTAGTAAATGGAAAACGGTCATATTTGCCTTTTTCGAAACCTGCATTTTTGGCACGTAGCAAGAAAACATTCGTGGGATTGTTATTTTTGCTCGATTAGTACATTTGGGTTTAACAAAAAAAAAGAAAATTCGTTATCCTGAAATTTCGTCAGTTGTTTATCCGGTAAAATATAATATGCATACAACAGTTCCTTTTTTTAATAGTTCGAAGCTGGAAATATTACGTTGCCAGGACAATGACAATATTGATCTTGAGTATCATCCCGAAGAGGATTCGACATTTATGTCACAAAAGCAACTAAATAACATAACCAGAAATTTACAACTTTCAAAAAGAAAGTCCGAATCTTTAGCCTCAAGGCTTAAAGATTTTAAAAAATAGTGTTCGAACTTCATACCGATTCCGTGGAGCATCGTTTAAAAATTTATTCTCTTACGAAATTTTTTTATACTATTCCAACAATCTAGGTCAACTTTTTTTACAATTTAATATTGAATTGGTGCCCGATGAATGGCACTTGTTCATCGCTTCAAGCAAAAACAGCTTGAAAGCAGTTTTGCTTCATAACGGAAATTCTAAGCCATCAATTCCCATCGCCTATTCCAACCAGTTAAATGAATCATATGAAAATATGAAATATTTATTGTCAAAAATAAATTATTCCATTTACGAATTTAAGATATGCTATGATCGCAATACTGACGTGCCTTCAGTTAGGCTACACCAAGCATTCGTGTTTTCTTTGTCTCTGGACCAGAGAAACTCTAAAACATTATACAGTATCTGAATGGGAGGATCGTCCCAACGTTCTTGAAAAAAATCGCGTAAATATTCTGCTTGTTTCTAAAAATAAGATTTTGTTGCCTCCATAGCACATAAAATTAGGACTAATCAAAAATTTTATCAAAAAATTGTCCGAGGGCCCTACGAAATACCTTAGAAATTTTTTCCCCAAGCCTTCCCAAGCAAAAATAAAAGGGATTTTAGTGGGCCCCAAAATAAGAAAACTCATGAAGGACAGTTTTTTTGAAGATGAATTGTTACTCATTGAATTAAAAGCATGGGAATCTTTTAAATGGATTTGCAGATCGTTCCTTGGCAATTATAAATCAGCCGACTATCGTGAGAAAATTGATGACCTATTAACAAATGATAAGGAAATGGGATGCCGAATGTCCCTCAAAATCCATTTTCTTCAATCCCATAAAGATTTTTTTTCTGAAAACTTAGGTACTGTGTCAGAAGAAATGGGGGAGCGGTTCCATCAACAGATAGAAAATCTCGAAAAGTTTTATCAAGGCAAGAATCGTATAAATATGTTGGCGGACTACTGCTGGAGTATCTTTTTTTGAAGATAAATCATCAAATTCATATTCGCGGAAATATATTTAGATTTACCATTAAATGTTTTTAAATTCGATAAATTTTATATTATTTAATTTGTTTTAAATTCAATAAATTTATTGTATATTACAAGTTAAATCCTATATAATAATGAAGGAGGGGGTGGGACAACGGACCGATAAAAGGTTTATTAAAAGTAAAATATGAGATAGGTTAGCTTAACAAAATATATTTATTTAAATATGAGAAATATAACTATTTCATTTAAAATAAATTGTTTGGGAATCGTACCGTGTGCAGTGTAGCGAAGAGAACGAAAGCCACAATAAATAAATATATTAAATGTAAGCTATATTAAAAAAGATTTTATAAATAAAGGTAAATTTAAAAAATATAGGTTGTTTAAAAATTGAGTAAGGATTTTATATAAAAAAATGTATAATAATAATAAAGAAGGTTTGCTGCAAAAATTAAGATATTTTGTTAGTTGTAGGAATCATTAGAACCGAAGTTATAAACCTTCAAAAAGTGCTAAAAATGACTTTTTTGGAAACTTTAACCTAAAATAAATAAAAAACCTGACGTGCTAGAAAAAAACTGACAGCGGATTTAGAATATGCATAAAAAACTGTCTTAAAACATGTTTATTTTATTTTCTCCCAAAAAATCAAGTCGAAATTTGTCACATAGTGTAATATTCATTCTTATCATAATTTGAGATGAGGTTAGTGTTCTTTTTAAAATAACACAATAAGATCTAAATTATATAAATTAATCGAAAAATATGTTAATAGCAAATTAATAACATATATAAGAAAGATTATATTACAAAATTTAATATAGAAAGTGGCTGAGTGGGAAGAACGTTTGCCTTTAAAACGTTAAGTCATGGGTTCGAATCCCGTGATGTACAAAAAATTTTCTTAAAATTTAACATTAGAGATATATAGTCTCCTTCGATTTATTTAATAAGAAGATAGGAAAGTTGATAAGAAAAATAAAAATTAACATTAAGATGATAGGAAAAATTAACATTAAGATTATATAAAAACGTTCATTTCTTGATTACGGTATATATATATAGATATTTAATTTTAATTATTATCAAAATATATGACTCCCCTAACAATATAGAGAGCAGTAATTCATATTTTATTTTGAAAGATTTTTTATGCATAAAAATTAGAAAATATTTACTTATAAAAGGATTTTGGCATTTTTTAGAATTTGATCAAAAAATATTCCGCTTCTTTTAAAAAAAATCAAAGATTTTTGCTCAATTTTTTTTTCAAACTCTAGTATCTATTATATTTGATCTTCTATCTTTCTTTAGATACAGATTCTACATATTTCAAATTAGCAAAAGAAAAGAAAATTGTTCATTTTAACCTTTCTTATTTTTTTTAAAAAAACTATCATTTTATACCATCTTGGCCTTTAAAAAGAAAACTTTATAAAATAGTTATTTTTTTAATTTAAATAAAAATGACATAAAAAAATCATATTTTTGTATGTCACGCTCAGGGATATGTTAAAAATATATTTCTAACGAAAAGTAACCTGGAATTTTTGTGAGATTGGACTCGATGTTAGAGACGCAAGAAGCGCAAGTCATGCCAGATATTTTGATTTCGCATTTGGATGGAGCTTTAAAATCCCCCATATCTTTTTATGTTTTAAAATCAAACCTTCTCAATATTTTCGAATTCGTTTAAGTAGTATTTTTGATTAATGATAGGGTGTTTATCGCCAAAAATAACCAAAAGGTCTACTAAAAAATAAAAAAATATATTTAAAAAATATTATATATCTCATTATACGATACTGTTTTAAATTTCGATATAAACCAGATAGGACCTTTCGTCCTTTTTTTCCCCGAACCTGGAGCCATTATCTTTTGCTATAGAGCCAAAATGTTAAAGACATGCCATCGGGACGTTATCCTCATTTAAAAGACCAAATGGCTCCAAACTATTGGGGAAACCGGCCAAAATACTTTCTTTTTTCTTACTTTTAGTGCCAGATACAACCAATGACATTATAATATTTAACTAGACTACCAATTGAATTATTAAAATGCGATTTGAAGCTTCGTTAAATATCAGCTGGTGACACGCCTCTTGATTTCCAAACGATCGTCCATTACTCCTCCTGTCGGCTTCTGTAATCCAACGGGAGTTTCTGCCTCCCAACAATCTTACGTGATCATTGCCACTGGTCCTTTCGAACCTGTCGGTGTCTCCGAGATGTTTACACCAACGGAAAGAGATGCGACAGAGACGCCCACTGTAACAATGATCGAAATAGGGTCGGTTCGATGGCTGATAATAGAACCGATAGGTGCGAAAGAACCAGCGGCGGTAGTCACAATAGAAACGGATCGTTTGGAAACCAAAGGCAGTAGGGGAAGAATCGGGAGTGGTTAGAGCTCCTTATCACGAACAAGGAATTAGAGGAGATAAGGGGGAAAATAATAGTAACGATGGATGTTGATTTTTATAATGGGGGCTCAAAAAGGTAAGAAAAAAAGATAATAATAATAAATTTTGAGTAAATTAAGCGTGTAAATTATTATGTGTAAAAAAAATAAAGAGAAAACAGTTAATATCGTTTATTATTTATTATTATATATATGTACTGAAAAGATGTTATTAATTTTATTTATTAATAAACGTATATTTGTGAAATTATACAAGATTCAAAAGGTGTAAAAATTAGAAAATTAAAATCTCTGTATTATTTTTGTTCAACCTATTTAAATTTAGTGAGTGATTGAGAGGATAGTGGACATAATTTGTCCATTCTAGTCAATTATATATAATATATATTTAATCACCGGGTCAATCAAAAGACTAATTTTAATTTGTTATTACAGGACTGCAAAGAGTTGTTAGGTTACAAATGGTGGCTCATTATAAGATTCATTTAATTAAATTCTCGGAGTTATGAAATTTTTTTTGGAAGGGGAGGGGGGTTAGTTGAGAATTTTGGAGGGGGTTTGTCTACAATGAATTTTCTGTCATGTAGAAGCTGCCTACATAATATTTTGTTATTGTCAACATGTTCCTATTTAATTTTTTTCAATATTAATCAGTCAATAAAAAATGTAGCTCACTGGCAATAAGGTCACTGAAGAACCTGATAAGAAAATATCCTAATATATATATTATTTCTTTCAAAATAAATTGATTAATCCTAACATCCTACCTATTTAAAAATTTTAATATTCCTATTTAAACATTTAAAAGGTTTTGTTTTGTTGGTAGTATATTTAAATCGTTCAATTTTTCCTACTGTTAAGCTAACAGTTAATAAAATTCACTAAGCCTTGTGGCAAGAGTATATTGTACTTTTTTAGAGTTGGCTCAAAACCTGCTAAAAATGGAGCTATTTATCACCAGAACCTGTTGGTAGTGACCCTCATTTTATACAATAACAGGGAAGAAGTGGCAACAACTTATAAAAATAATGAAAACAAAACTTTATCCTTCATTATCTTCTAGGGCAAAAATATAAAACGATTTTTGAATTTTTATAATAACAATAGAGATTTAACACATTTATAAAAATATTTTTGTCGAAAGGAGTCTCAGCCCTTCCTCAAAATTTGGAAAGGGGGGCTAAAAATCATAAAAAAATTAGTGGAGTGCAGCCTCTAATACTCCTGTCTTAACTTAATATTTAGAAAAATTATGACAAATTTAAATTCAATTATTTTTAGAAATGAAAAATGAATTTTAAAAAATATTTTTATAAGTTTTTCTTAAAAAATAAATCTGACATATGGATTTATCAGATTTAAAAATATATTCCAGGGTTAAACTAATATTATCAAAAATAAACTATATACTCTATCATTATTTTACAAGTCAAAAGTAATCTATAATTAAGAAAAAAATCAATGTTCTGAAGATAGATAATTTTTTATATGTATTTAATGGCATGTAAAGTTTATTGGTATTTAGAAAGAAATTAAAATAAAAGTTGTTTCATAAATTAAAATAGTTTAACAGCTTATTCTAAAATATTATATCAGTCTTTATTTTAAAATATATCTACACAATATATTTAATTTATGACTTGATCTGTTATTATATTTATATATATACATTAGGCCTTATCAAAAAGAATATGAATTATATCAATTCCTTTAAACAAATTATATAATTTACTATTCATATTCAAACAAATTTACCATTCTTATTTATTTAATAGTAATGAAAATAAATTATCCGATTAATTTAAAAGAATCTAATACAAATAATTCATTGTTCAATTTGAATTCATTTAAATAGGCCTAATACACATATTGTTACATTGTATTGGCACATCAATTCTTTAAAATGTGGCACCTAATTATATAAGTTAAAGAAATAAAATACTTGTAAGATGAGAGGCTTATAATTAACTTTTACAACAAAATTTTAAGATATTATGTTTTGTAAAAATAAATTTAAGATATTGGGAAAATAAATTTTTAATAATCTAATAAAATTAGAATTCTCAGAGCATAGAAATATTCATATTATATTTAAATTTTAAGATGTATGATTATATTATTTTTACCTCGATCATCAATCATCAGAAAATATTGAAAATTGATAGATGATATTTTTTAAAATTTGATTTAGGCATAATTAGCATTATAAAAATCAACTAAATAAATAGTTTATTTAATAAGAATAAATTAGAATCATATACGTTTAAGATCATGATATTAAAATATACAGTGTATATATATATTTATTTATTCTTTTCCTGAATGTTCCACAACGTTCTATTGGATTGGGATAGATTCGTATTTGTAATTATTTTTAGATATATATTATTACAGTTCAGTTTGATTATGTTTAAAAAAACAATAAATATTGTATAATATTTTGCTATTTTCGCGAATATGATTTTTTAATTAAAAAACTAATAATAATATTCTAAAACGAGAAGTTTATAGAAACAAAGAAAGCATTGTTTCCTTCATAATTCATCTTAAAAATTCTGAACCAATACCGATACTATATTACAAATTAATTTATTTTTACTATATTATAAAATGTATCATACTATTTTTCAGAATTTAAAACCTGAAAAAATGGTTCTGGTTGTAAATATTTTGTAAAAGATGGTTCAGGTTTTGTATCCTAAAATTTTTGAAAATAATTTGTGGTTCCGATTATTAGATTTTATGTGCTTCCAGGTTTTGGGTTAAAAAACTGTTAAAGTAATAAATACAAAATTAAATATAAACAATAAATAAGATGGATAGCACAACTTTTTAAACAATATTTAAATTTCTTTCAATCAGGCGTGTAACCAAGGAGAAATTAAAATTTGTATCGTTAACTAGCCAAAAACCGAACAAAAATTGTAAATTTACCATATAGTACGTTATCTAAATATAAGAAATATCTTTGATTTTTTTAAAGTTTCCTTTATAGCTTTAGTCTGTAATCAATTAAAAAAATAAAAAATTTAACTCTTTATTAAAACCTAACCCCCCCCCCCCCTTCCCCTCAACACTTCATTCACTCTCTTTATTGTTCTCATTTTAATTATTATTTTATAATATCATATCTTTATTTAATAATTATTTTACAAATAATATGACTTATTGTAATAGATAAATATAAATGGTATACAAAATTTCAAATATATATCTTTTTATAAATATGTTTACAATAAAAACTCTCTGCTCGATTGCTGGTATTTGCGACAGAAAATTTCGAATTTATACATTATTTTAATACTACAAGACTATAATGAAGACTATGTCTGCTCGTTTCCTTGCATTTCCGATTTTTGTATTTTGATATCTCGAAAAAGACGTCTAGAAACCCAAACCTTGATATTATAAAAAAAATAATAATTATGAAAACTAGAGATGTGTCAAAAAAAAAACTTAACGGTCGATAATTAGAAAAAAATTAAATCGAATTTTTGTTTTGAGATTAACCTTATAACCCCTATTCTCTTCTTTTCCCCCCAAAATTATTTATTATTTAACTCTTAAGTAATATAAGCCCCTATTTAAAACTGCTAATATCTCATTCAAATTTTAATGACATTTTAAACGCTTGATAAGTTATTTTTTAAAATTGATTTTATTTTTAAATGTTAAAATGGAGTTTCGGGCCGACATATATAGCTATACTTAGGGCACCCAAGTGAGAAAAGATGATTTCTCAAGAAAACTCCTTTTGTGGCCGAAAACGATGTCCATCCAATATTATCATATCGACCGTGCCAAAAATAATCACGTTAATTAAATATTTTGGTTTTGAAAATTTTAATGATTTATATAGTAAAATTTTTATTTTATTAAGACCTTAATATAATTATCATCCGTAGTTGTAATCATAATTTGAGAATTAGTCGGATCAAAACTAACACAATTGACGATGTCGGAATGAGGTAATTTAGCTACACATAAATTTTCGTAGTACCTATCCCATATGTAGGCCGATTTATCTTCAGCTCCACTAAAAAAAATTTTTTAATTAGTTTTCTTTTTTAAATATAAATCCATTTGTTAAAATATTCAATTATCCGCTAAATTTATATGGTATAGAGGAGTGAGTGATATTAATGAAATTAAAGCTTTCTAAACCATAAAAAATCAATGATAAAGTTGTTAGGGGTAACCAAAAAATGCTTCCCCATTGAATGGGGAGAATCTATCTGATTGTCTATATATCATAATTATCACTGCAAAACTGTCTAACTACCTTTTTTAAAAAAAATATTACAGAAAGACAAAAATTAGATTTTAATACCTAGCGAGACTTATTAAAATAAAATTTAACAAGATAATAAAGCTAGTAGTTAAACGGCTCATTTTGAGCTGATTTTTAAAACGGCTAACTCAATATTTTAGCCAGAAAATATTGCCTAAGCTTCGAGATTTCGAAAATATATGTATAGACCTTTGTTTTCCAAAATCTTGAGGCTTGCGTAATTTTTTATGGATGAAATATTGAGTTCGCAGTTTTTAAAAATCGGCTCAAAACGAGCCGTTTAACAGCGCTAAATAAAGCTATCTTAATAAAAAATAAAATTATCATCTACAAAATGTATAATCACCTATTAAACAAAAATAATAATAGTATTTTGTGAAAATTTTTCGCCCAAATTCACAAAAAAATAAATAAAAGATGGGAATGGAGTTTTAAATAATGAAGTATAACATATAAGGAATTTCTACTTAAATAGTAGGCTACGCATTTTTAAAAAATATTAGATTAATAAAACTAAAAATAACATTTTGTAGATAGGGGGTTTTGCAATGTTATTGTGGGTATATCATTATATTATATTGCGTTTTCTGATTATATAACATTGTTGTTAAACGGCTTGATTTAAGCCATATCTGAGCCTCGAGATTTCATTAATAGATGTCCAAACCTTTGGGCCATCTATGAGAAAAATCTTCAGGCTTGCGTAATACCTCTTTATAAATCGGCTCAAAACGAGCAGTATACAACACTATATAACATAATGTGTTATTTTTAAATTAAACATTTATTTCCGACAATATTTAAAATAAAATAAAACAATAGAGTAACCTCGCTAAGTATTCATCGCTCACGTCTAAAAACAAAAAGAAACATTCTTCGTTATGGGTATAGGCTTTATGTGACGTGAAAATCTGGTTATCGATTATCTTTAAAAAAAACAAATAAATTTAATCAAATAAAAATTTATCGATATAAAAAATTAATAAATTATTAGTAACTTGCAAATTTGACATGTCCACTACTCTAATCTCAATTTCTTGGGCGATAGGAGGCGGATTCAAGGGATTAGATATTATACAGCCATCAGGCCAACATCTCACGTTAACATATAAATATCTTAATGATATACATATATGTATAATGTAAGGTGGTAAATTCCAGTAAGAGTTACTGATCGAACATATGTTGAACAGTTGGTCCAAAAAATTAATAGTTTTGTTCAAAATCGTGCCCGAAATTTTTTTATGAAGAGGTTCTAAGACCTAATTCGGACCTGTCATGCATCGCTCTATATTTTAGTTTAGTTGCTCAATATTTAGTCATTTTTAAACAAATTTGGCAATTTCGAACCCACAAAGACACTTCTTTCGGTGGAGGAAATAAAAATAAGCAAATATTCAGAGCTAAACAATATTAAATTCGTTCCTGTTGTCAAATAAACCCTTGGAAACTTCGCTTACCAGGCACTATCCTTCCTGAAGGAGATAGGAAGAAAAGTTACCCATCTCACGTGCGATTCTGAATATTTCGTTTAAATTTCTTATCAAATTCACCGCTGTACTTTAATATCTAGTGTTGTTAAACGCCCGAAAAAACCCGATTTTTTTAGTCGAAAATATTATGAGATTTCGCTAATAGAGGTTCAAACTTTTCTACAACCTATGAACAAAATCTCCAGCCTTACACTACTATTATTAATAGTTTATGATTGTATAATTATTAGTTATTATTTTAATCTTTTTTTAAAAATATATATTTCTTTTCTTTTTTTTTGTTTTAACATTATATCTAATACATATATATTATAATGGGCGCAAATTAAATTGATTTAGTATAAAAAAATATATATATATTATTTTATGATCTATACTTATAATCAATAACATATATATATTATACTTATACTAGCCAGATGATTTATTCATAAAATGAGTTTCGAAGAGTGGTGGAATACAAATCAGCTGATTACACGTTATTTTGATTTCTCATAAGAATATTTTTTAAGTTTTTAATAAATTATTTATATGAGAAAACAAAATGGCACTTTATCAGCAGGCTTGTACATTTAAAAAGTGATATGTTATATCTCATTGACTATTCTATAATAATCTAATTAAAAGTTTGATGGAAGGCAACAAATAAGTTTTTAAATATTTTATCACATAATACTTTATTACTAAATTTTATATTTTTCTAACATGTATTTATATCAATTCACAATCAATTAACCTAAAAATGTTAATGCTAAAAATGGTTAATTTAATAATAATAACAAATTAATGTATGAATGTATATAAAAAACAAATTTAATGATTCTAAATATTGTCCATCTCTAACATTCCACCCTCCAAAGAAATCCAGCCTAGGTCTCTTTGAGTGCCGAAAAATCGTCCCGATGTTCTTGATTTTTTACTATTATTATCGTTTCATATGTCACTTTGATTTTATCTTTTAGCGTTGTCTTGCTTTTGTCACGTTTTATCGTTGGCTTGTTTTCACCTCGTTGGTTTGTTATTAACGTTTCGTCTCTTTGCTTATTTGTTTTTGTTCACCTTCCATAGTCATTATTATCATTTTTTTTTTATTATTTTTCAAATCATTATCATTACTATTAGTTAATCAAGAATAATTAGGAATCATAAGAATAGATCCAATTGAATATAAGAATCGATCCAATTGAATTGAATCATCATTTAGAAAATAATATTGAATTTGTAAGAATGTATAAAGAATCGCGTTTTAATGTTTTTTTTTTATTATTTGTGTCGCGTTTTATACAATTTTTTATATTATTTATTTTGCGTTTTATATCGTTTTTTTTTTATTTATAATGTTTTATATCATTTTTTTTTATTTATATATTTTTTGTTTATTTTTATTTTACATTGAGTTTTATATAGTTTTTTTTATATTTATTTATTTTGTTTATTTTTATATGTCAAAAAATAATTTTCCATTGATAAAGTCAAAATTAAAGATTTAAATGAGATATATTATTAATCATATATTTTTTTATAACTTCTCCCTCCTTAAAACTTTAAGAGATTTTTAAATTTAAATCCTTTCATCTTAAGTATAAATAAGATTTCACAGTTCCTACAATTACTTTTTTTACTATAAATCGTGGATTCTATTTTATTTAAAGTTTTCCATATAGAGATTTCATCTATTTCATTTGTGTTACTTGTTATATTTGTATCATCAGAGTTTTCTTTATTTAAAATTTCATAGTTATTAAAGTCATTATACTGAAAATTTTCATTAGTTGACATTTCATTGTCTTTATAATCATCACAATAATTATTTTCACATTTTGAATTTATTATAAGAGTTTCCTTAATATTAATGTTTTCTCTAATATTAGTATCATCGACTTTTATAGACATTTCATTGTCTTAATAATCATCACAATAATTATTTTCACATTTTGAATTTATTATAAGAGTTTCTTTAATTTTAATGTTTTCTCTAATATTAGTATCATCGACTTTTATAGACATTTCATTGTCTTTATAATCATCACAATAATTATTTTCACATTTTGAATTTATTATAAGAGTTTCTTTAATTTTAATGTTTTCTCTAATATTAGTATCATCAACTTTTATATTTGCTCTTACTTTATAGTTACATAATAATTTCAATATTGTAATAGCTTCCTCAAAAGTTGAATCTCTGTCTCTTGGTTCAAATGCCTTCATCTTTACATATAGATGATCAGGCAGTTTATAAATTAAATATCTGCTGCTATTTCTAACTTCATTAATTAAAAAAAAAATTTCTACTTCGTCAATATAATTCCTTATATTGTCTTCACTCCAAATAGGATAATTCATATCAATTAAATTTTACTTTATTTCAAAAAAAATTTAAGTTCATCAAATATGTACTTTATTTTATAATTATTTTTATTTGTGCTTATAATTATATCATTTTTTTTATTTTATTTCGAATGGTTTCATTGCTAATTTTGGACATTGGATTACTCGTACATGAAATCCAATAGCAAGTTATAATCTTTCAGAATTATGAAATATTATAACTTGCTATTGGATTTCATGTAGAGTAATCCAATGTCCAAAATTAGCAATGAAACCATTCGAAATAAAATAAAAAAATGATAAAATTATAAGCACAAATAAAAATAATTATAAAATAAAGTACATATTTGATGAACTTAAATTTTTTTTGAAATAAAGTAAAATTTAATTGATATGAATTATCCTATTTGGAGTGAAGACAATATAAGGAATTATATTGACGAAGTAGAAATTTTTTTTTTAATTAATGAAGTTTGAAATAGCAGCAGATATTTAATTTATAAACTGCCTGATCATCTATATGTAAAGATGAAGGCATTTGAACCAAGAGACAGAGATTCAACTTTTGAAGAAGCTATTACAATATTGAAATTATTATGTAACTATAAAGTAAGAGCAAATATAAAAGTTGATGATACTAATATTAGAGAAAACATTAAAATTAAAGAAACTCTTATAATAAATTCAAAATGTGAAAATAATTATTGTGATGATTATAAAGACAATGAAATGTCTATAAAAGTCGATGTTACTAATATTAGAGAAAACATTAAAATTAAAGAAACTCTTATAATAAATTCAAAATGTGAAAATAATTATTGTGATGATTATTAAGACAATGAAATGTCAACTAATGAAAATTTTCAGTATAATGACTTTAATAACTATGAAATTTTAAATAAAGAAAACTCTGATGATACAAATATAACAAGTAACACAAATGAAATAGATGAAATCTCTATATGGAAAACTTTAAATAAAATAGAATCCACGATTTATAGTAAAAAAAGTAATTGTAGGAACTGTGAAATCTTATTTATACTTAAGATGAAAGGATTTAAATTTAAAAATCTCTTAAAGTTTTAAGGAGGGAGAAGTTATAAAAAAGGATATGATTAATAATATATCTCATTTAAATCTTTAATTTTGACTTTATCAATGGAAAATTATTTTTTGACATATAAAAATAAACAAAATAAATAAATATAAAAAAAACTATATAAAACTCAATGTAAAATAAAAATAAACAAAAAATATATAAATAAAAAAAAATGATATAAAACATTATAAATAAAAAAAAACGATATAAAACGCAAAATAAATAATATAAAAAATTGTATAAAACGCGACACAAATAATAAAAAAAAAACATTAAAACGCGATTCTTTATACATTCTTACAAATTCAATATTATTTTCTAAATGATGATTCTATTCAATTGGATCGATTCTTATATTCAATTGGATCTATTCTTATGATTCCTAATTATTCTTGATTAACTAATAGTAATGATAATGATTTGAAAAATAATTTAAAAAAAATGATAATAATGACTATGGAAGGTGAACAAAAACAAATAAGCAAAGAGACGAAACGTTAATAACAAACCAACGAGGTGAAAACAAGCCAACGATAAAACGTGACAAAAGCAAGACAACGCTAAAAGATAAAAGCAAAGTGACATATGAAACGATAATAATAGTAAAAAATCAAGAACATCGGGACGATTTTTCGGCACTCAAAGAGACCTAGGCTGGATTTCTTTGGAGGGTGGAATGTTAGAGATGGACAATATTTAGAATCATTAAATTTGTTTTTTATATACATTCATACATTAATTTGTTATTATTATTAAATTAACCATTTTTAGCATTAACATTTTTAGGTTAAATGATTGTGAATTGATATAAATACATGTTAGAAAAATATAAAATTTAGTAATAAAGTATTATGTGATAAAATATTTAAAACTTATTTGTTGCCTTCCATCAAACTTTTGTATGAATGTATATAAAAAACAAATTTAATGATTCTAAATATTGTCCATCTCTAACACTAATATTCCGTTTTTTTAAAAACATCATTAAAATAGGGATCACTTTTGATCAGGAGAAAAGGTCATTCCTATGATGTGCCCGTTAAAATCGATCAGGTGATCTATGCTATCAAAATCCATCTAGTAAATAAAATAATCATAAAATAAATTATATAATACCTTTTTATAAAAAAATAATAATACCTAAATTCTAAAAAAAATGTTTACCTGCTCGGGATAATTCTGAAATTCATTGTTGGGAAATGAACGTGCTCCCCTGTAAATAAGAGGATTATAATCGTGAATAGTGTCAGCATCAGTTTCCAAACCGACAGTTTCCGGGTAGTCTCTGTTATCTCTGTGAGCCGAAGATGATGGGTTTAATATGGCTAACGCTTGAGAAATGGTAGGTAACTTGATAGGTTTTATCAGTTTAAATCCTATTTGATGGGGTACATAAGTTTTTGAACCTATGAAATGTAAGAAGGGGGAAGGAAAGAGATATCTATATAGATCAAAAAATCTAGTAAATAAATGTGTTACTGATGATATGCGTAAATAGGCAATATGTAGAATTGTCGGAAATTTACAGGGTAGATATAAGATACATGGGAAATACATTTCCAATTTAAAAATCTATGAATCTCGAGTCGTAATACCGCCAATAACCCGCAATGGCTGAAATAAACGCATATTTCGGTTAACTATAATTTCTAAATGCAGGCAGCTTTTATTAAATCGGATTTTGGAGCAGTTTAAAATAGTGTTGTTAAACGGCTCAATTTGAGCCGATTTTTAAAAACGGCTAACTCAATATTTTATCCACAAAAATATTACCCAAGCCTGAAAATTTCGCCCATGGATTGCATAAAGGTTTAGCCATCTATCAGCAAAATCTCAATACTTATACAATTGTTTTCTTGTTAAAATATTGATTTAGCCAATTATAAAACTTGAAAACGGGACGTTTAACAACACTAGTTTAAACAGGTCCGATTTACTTTCACTTAAAAAATAAATACATCCTAAACTTCTATAAAGTTAGTGATGAGCTATAAAAATAACCTTTTTACCAGAAACCTCGGAATAGGATCAAATACAACAACTGAACCTCTCGGCTCCCATTTTAGAATTTTCAGGAATCAGAACCCTTTACTAGTTCCGGTTTTTAAACTCAGATTTTAATACAATATATATATTTTTTTAAATTAATTACCCTTTTTTTCTAAATTAGAACTTTTTATTTTATTTTTATTAAATTTCTTTTCCGCCATTGTAATTTTTTCAAATTTAAAATAACCTGTCGTGAAGACCAAATATTTATCGCCATTTAACGCGTGTTTACGCGAATCATTTAATGATCTTTTTGAATTTCTCGGGTCCTTTAAATTAGCAGACGATAGCGTAGATGTTGATGAAGTGGAAGAACCGGAAGAAGATGTAGGAAGATCTACAGAGGTTGATGCCCAGGGTGGTATTTCGTTTTGTTCGTTCGTTTTAATCCTATTATCTATCTGATAATTATGGTTGGCGTCTGTTTCGCTTAATTGGGCATCTGAATCAACATTTATTTGGTTTTCTTTGGTAGGAAGAGATGTTAGGCAGTCGCAAACCATAATATTTCTAACGGAACTACCGTTAACGTTGAAAAACTTAAAAGTTCTCATGACGACTGTTTCTAGTTCGGAATCTGTTTCCTAAACAAATAATTCAGTTAGATTACATGATATGATTAGGATAAACGAGAATTTATGAGAAACATTTAAAAAAAAATTCTTAGCGCATTTATGCATGATGAATTCAAATTAAACCTGCCAGGCTTTGTTAATCCACAAGGAAGAACAAGATAGCAAATGACCGAACCAATGAAGATTACCGGATATGAGATAATCCTCGTTGTACCAAGTTCCGAAAACGTCGTAAGGTCTATTTATAACACGGCATTGTAACGTAAATTGGCCATCTTTTTTTTAAATCAAATAAATATGACCTATTTTAGTTTATCAAACAATTTGGATATATAAATCTCTTCCTTCCTATTCTTATCAAAATTTAATATATAAATTCTACCTATTACGTTAAAAACAGCAATTTCTCCTGAAGTACTATGCGATCCAAAATGGACTCCAGAAACTAACAATAATGTATCGTCTGCATTAAAACACGAATATTGAGTGTATTTCCAATTGTATAACTTTAAATCAAAGCTGTATTTCAGGGTTATGATTGGGAAGGAAGACATATTCCAAACCTAAATAAATCATTTATAAATCTTTGAAATAGAATAGGCTAGCCCTAATTTTAAATATTCAAATAAATAAAAAATCTAAAATAATATGTCATTAACAACTGGACAATTTATATACCACAAATAGTAAAATATAAATTTTAGTGGAGACATTGTAAATCTGTTCTTCCATGTCAAATGAGAAAGAAAATAGAGATTTTCGGCCGACCTCTTTCAATTTCGGTAAAAATTTGCAAGCACGTTATGTTATGTTCCAATAATATCAGAATTTAAGCTAATTAGCATTTATATTACTTGAGATAACGAAAACAATACGAATATTGGATCTAATATTTATAACTAAGTCAATGATTGATAATTATAGGAGGGGGGGGGCATCAAAATTACATTTTTATAAATATTGGTCATCCTATATCCTTTTGAAAATTAATATTTCGAACATATAATGAGCTTCAATTTTTCAAGTTTTTATTTTCTAGATTTTTTTTACTATCTTTCAAATAACACCTTCAATAATTAACATGGCTGCATAATTAATAAAAATTGAGATATCGTGATCGTGAATGTTATATAAAAAAACGTATGGCGTTTTGTATGAACATTTCGATGCGATAAAAACTTTTTATACCGTCAAAAATCATTTTAAAGGCATTATAATCACGAGTAATATTAGGCATACTGAGAAATTTTTTTTATTCTTAAAATATGGCTAAAAATTTTAATTATTTTTTTAAAATGCCTTATATTATCCTAAATCAATTTTAATTCCTTGAAATTATTTTTAAATGACAAAAAAAAAGTCTTATTGCACTGAAATGTTCATGTATCGCCATATATATTTTTATATATTAATTCGCGATATTTTTTAAAATAATTACCCACCCGTGCTCATTATTGATGAAATTATAAGAAAAATAGTAAATGAATAATTGAAAAAAAAATTATATAATTGAAACTCACAATCATTTCGAAATATTAATATTTCTACTGGACATAAGATAGCATTTAAAAAAAATTAACATTGATGTTTCCCCCTTAATTATCAATTAATAGTAATTAATATAAACTAATTTAGCTTTTAATTTAAAATTCATTATTTAACATAAGTAAAAGCTTTAAAAAAACCCGATTTTTGTACCTTTGATTCCCAATACCTCAGGTAATATAATTGCTAATCAGCTAATTTTGTTTCAGATATTAGCGGAACATATATAACGTGCTCGAAACTAAAAGGGGTCGACCGAAAGGTGTTTGGTTTGACATGGAGTGAGCCAAATTCACTGAATATAGTCGTATGAATAGATAATTATTCTCATCTAGGCAATATTTTTTTATTATAACCTATGTGCGGTATTTTATTTAAACATGTCTAGCAGCGATCTACAAATAGCAAAAATTTTCAAGTCCGGTCTGGTCTCAGTTTTTGCCTTGCCCGGATAATCTTTTGCTCGGCCTGGCATGATTTAAATTTATCACTATAGCTGCCCGGGCCGATTTTAATTAATTTTTTTTTAATAAAAGTTATATCGTCGTCACCAATGCAAGACCTAGTAAGTGACATTTTATTTTTAGATAAATAAGTTCATTTATAAGCCAGATAAAATCTCTCAAAAAAGCGTGATTTAATGACCAATAAAACTAGTATTTTTAATCATAACATTAAAACTAAGAAGAAAAAAACAAACATCACAACCTCGTAAGTGATTAACAAAAACTCGTAAGTGGCATGGGAGTCGCATATGTGAATATATTTTTATTTAAAATCATTCTAATAAAAAAGTATTGTATAATTAAAAGTTAAAATTCATTAATAAGTATGTATAATTATTTCATAAGCAATTAGTTAGCCCGCAAAAATATCTTTACATGGCCCCTGTCAGGCTTTGGGCAGAACTGTGCAAACTCTACTTATATTGACTATAGTAATCTAAAATTTGAATGGCTTTTTTAGATATTTAAATTCAATCTTTATGTTAGAAATAAGGCAAATTTACGTCTCAGAGTAGGGTGGGCGAAAAAAATAATTTACAGCACCAAACCTTTTTCAAAATAAATTCATGTCATTTTAGGCCAGGGCCACACTAACCACCTGCTGTAGTAATTAATAAGTGTCGAGCATTTGGGAGTGACCCGTATTTCAAAGCAGTCATTCCAAAATATTTCATGGCATAATACCAATTTAAGCAGAGTATCTCCTAGCTACAGGGTTAGTATATATTATATACATGAGCCATGACATGATGTAGGCAGGCTAAGGTGGGTTTCGTAATTATAAATAAAATGCCTTTCAAATTTTTTAGACGCCATTTTTAATTTGCTGTTATGGCATCCATTAACTTTTATATTTTTTAAATCAATAAAAATTGTTTATTATTAATATAAGAAGTGATCAATAATTCAATGATATTTTTTTGATGGCATTTCTTTCAAAATTGCTCAGTTTAATTATTATGTTTAAGAAAATTGTTAAATATTTCTTTTAAACATTAATTTTATGATAAATATATATATCACAATTTAAAAATGTAAATTTATTTTAAATTCAATATAAAAAAACAATTAGGATCTATACAAAACTAGATCTTAAATTATTTGTAATATAACAATTAATACCAGAGATGTTTAGCCGGGAGGGAAAAAGATTACATGGGGCTACATTATACGCTAAAAAAAATTATTTTGATTTTTAGCCCTCCTTTTTAGATTTTATAGAGGGGCTATAAACCCTTCCTACGCCGCCAAATTTTTTAAATATATTTTTCAATGTTAATTAAATTTGAATTTTTTTGTTTCTTTATTAATTGTTATAAAATTTTAAATTATAATTCCCCATATTTCTTTTATAGCCAGACGACGCCATTTTTTTAGAAATATTCTATATAATTGATATTATTAACCCATTAATATTTTAAACATCAAATTTTAAAATAAAATTATCTCTTGTAAATATTTTTATAAGTCGTGTCCTCGGCATTATCTAAAGTTTAGAGTGAGGTTCACAACCGGCAAAGAGTGGTGATAAATGGCTCCATTTTAGCAGGTTTGGAGCCGACTCTAATAAAGAAACCGACTTTTTAAGCAAAAATGATTATCTTAGCCTAGATCGAGTTTTATACTTAAAAGGATAGGTCCTTTAAAAAACAATCTTGTTTTAAGGATGCAAGAAATAGTTCAATTTTAACAAAATATTTAAAATGTTTAAATAGGAATTTAAAATTTTCAAATAGGTAGGTTGTTAGAATTTAGCAATCTACTTTGAAATTAATAAATTTAGATATTTTTTTTATCAGGATTTTTGGTGTTATTTTGCCATCATTTTATTTACTTAAAATTAGTGACATTAACTTTATTTAAAATGAGTCTCAAATCTAAAATGATTATAAAATTTAATATTACTTTCAATATAAATAAAAAATTTTTAATGAGACTAAAACTAAACAAATATGTATAATTAATTATAAGTTTAGGCAAATTGGAATGACATACTAAAAATCATTAATACCAATTTCTGAAGATGCTGTCTTTAACGCTCTTGTTGTTTGGAAACATGTTAGTTTTAATTCTTTTTCGATTTGCTCAATGACAAAATGTGCAATAAAAACTACAATTCCATAATGTATCTCATTCTTGATATTTCATTTATTAATTTTATATTTGACATTTCATATAATATACTTGATAGCCTATTTGTATAAATATTATATAACTTTTAAATAAATACTTAAAAATTTTAGTATTTTTTTTTACTGTTCAATATTTTTATGAATACTTCTTAAATTTTTTTTTTTGCTAATAAAAAATACATCCCATTTTGATTAATTTATTGCCCAAAAACAATCACAGCCTAAATATAATACAAATTATTTTATGAAATTTGAAATTATTATCCTTTATTAAAAAGTAATAAACAAAAAAATGGATTTTGATTTTATTTATAAAAATAATTATAAAAATTTTAAAAAATTAAGAGCCATTTTATTGGATGGTAAAATTTTATAATATTGGCCAATGACTGATATTTTAAAAATGATTAAATATTGGCCCAATCCGATAAAAAAAAAATAATTTGAATATTTAGTAATTTGATAAATAATATTTTTATAATTATTTCTTGCATTCAATTTTTGATTCAAATAATTGTGTTAAATCAAATCACATTATGAATAATTCAGTGATGCCTTAGACAAAAATTATGACATAGCAGAAAAACTTTATTTTTTGAAAAAAATTTGGCTTCAAAATTAAATATTTTATATTCTTTAATCAAAAGGAAAATTGGCCTAAGAATAATGTAATTTGGCAAGAAGATAATAATAAAATCTGCCAAAGATTTAAATTTAATAAATATAAAACAATTGCTAAACTTCAAAAATATACTGATGAAGATATTTTTAATAAAAATTTTAAAATCGCTAATGTGTGGGTACTTTATCCTGCAGTAGTATTATCAAATATAAAACAGACTCATGAATTTGATTATGGCAGACAATTGAGAGAATTTAAGAGTAAATAAGTTGTCAAATATGAATAGACCTTTGATATTGGAGTATATTTAAGATCAATATATCACTGAGAATAAATCAAAGTTCAAAAAAAGTACAAAAGTAGGTCAATTGATTGATCAAATTCAGTCATATGACTGGAAGAGTATTTGACCAGGTCAAATTCTCTAAATAATCTGAAGAAAAAAAATTAACAATATGTTTGAAAAAAGATATAAATAGATGTGATCGCAATGCTGCTTATTTATTTGGTTCCCAATATCAAGGGGAGCAACTTACTAGTAATGAATTTAATAAAACATGTGATGATCAAAATATTTCAGCTATAACATAAATTTGAGGAGAAAGAGCAGTATGTTTAATAGTAAATTATGTGGAGTGTCATGTTTAATATATGAGGAAAGGTGACTTACATAAGAAACAATCAGATTCTGGCCTCAAGTTAATGGAATGAGCTTTGCTCACCATGCCCATTAAAAGTAGTGGCAATTTATTAACAATTCCTAGTTTTGCTTCTTCTTCAAGAAATTGGTTAATATGGTTTATATTCTTACTAAAACAGAAATCGATTGAAGATCTTGACAGCAGAAAAATTGTTAAAAAAATATTAAAGAAAATGATAATATTGAATATGAATCAGAGCAAGACTATGCTATGGAGAACTTAACAATAGTTATTAAATGCCAATAAATTTTAAAAATATTATAAAATTAATATTATAGATATTTAATATTATATACAATATAAGTTAATATTATCTTAAAAACTTTTTGAATTTGACTGTTTTTGACCATATTTGACTAGTCAAATATTGGCCAAATGACCATATAATATTACCAGTCAAATACAACAATAGAAATATTTTATATTATATATCATATTTTTTGAATTCCCCACCCCTCCCATCAAATTTTTGATCACAACATTATGGATTAACATCAATTGATAGTATTAGTAATAAAGTAAAGATTGATTTTAAAAGTATTGCATTACAAAAAATAAATATTACTCAAAATATACCTTAATAAATCCATCTTTTGAACAAGTAGCAAACATCTTTCCATCATGAGAAAAATTTACATGTAAAACCTGATCTTTGTGCTTTAATAAATATTTATTATTTTCTTTATCATTGACATATGGATCTTTTAGTTGAATTAATGGAACTTCATAATATAATCTTATAAATTCCTCTCTCCAGGAAAGAGCACCAAGTTTTATTTTTAAAAAATATCCTTTTTTAATTAACTTATAGTGCCTAGTATAGTGTAAAATTTTCAATATTTATACTAACTTATGAAACAATAATTTCCATAAATGATTATTATGGCTAATAGCCCTCCAATTAATACAAGCTAATTCACATGATACAACATCATTAAAATCCAATAGAGAAAATATGGTTAACAAAATATTATCAGGCAATATAGAATATGTTTCTTCTTGATCCATTACTTTTACTTTAATTCGGCTATTTATTTTTTTTAAATTGGCTTAACATATGTTTTTTATCTATTCTCAAGGAATGTAAATTAAATTCGTGATGAAACAATTCATTAAATTAAATCATTTAAATCTATTTTATGTAAATTATAAATTTAGTAATAAAGCAATTCATTTAATTAAAATATTTAAATTTATTTTGTTAATCTTAGCAAATTATTTATAAATATTTAAATCACTTTATAATAATAAGCCATATTTAAAATTAAAATAGATGGAACACCAAGCATTGCGACCGATTGCATTAAAGTAAAGATGATTGTGATTACAAGAAAATGAGATGTTACTAAAGATCAGTAGAAAGAACTGGGTCAGATAAAAATCAAAATAAGATGACTATAAAATGCGGGTGATAACATGAATTATGGTAAATGTTGTAGACCGCAAATATAAAGCGATGAGGTGGAAAAGCTAGTAATATACTCCCTACCTCTTTTTTGTTTTGATGTTTGTAATTGTCATTGTGATTCGTAAGATATATTTACTTATGTGAGGATTTATATGATATATTGGTGATGACACTGTTATAATTTACATACTGATTTTTTTTTGTTGTTCATGCTAATTTACAAATCAATTAACGCAATTTTACACGGAATATTAACTTTTATTAAAAGGAGTTGATAATGACACCACATCATATTTTGAACGAAACATTACCTTTTCGTGAAATTATTTTAGATATTAGATTGGAAAAAAATTTTCAAAAATTTTTGAAGCAAAAGTTGTTTTTTTTTAAAACAAAGATTTTTGATTAAATTTTATTTGAAAATGCCGTTAAAAATAAGTAAATCTTTCGTATTTCTAATTTTCATTCATAAAAGATTTTTCAAGATGAAATCAAATATTTTTTAAAAAATCAAACGCTAAGATTTACTTTTTAATACGATTTAGAAATTATAATGAATTATTTTATATCATAAGAATATTAGATAATGGATTGAATAAAAATAGATCATATGTTATTGTGCAATAGTTTTTTATAAACTTTATATGACATTCTTAATAACTTACCGCAAATAAGTCATAACATCTTCAAGTGTAACCTGACTCCGTATCTGACATTTCTTGTTATTTATTCACTACCGTCTCATTCAAAATAATCAGATTATTACTTTTTCTTATAATATATATTTACAAACTACTGACATTATAATAAGGCTAAATTAAAAATTAAATAGACTAAAATGGCTAAGATGTCTAAAGAAATACGAAATAATTAGCTAGAACACATTGCAATAAATTCATTATTTATTAAGCGAGAAATTATACGTTGTTTATAAGGAAGACTTTTATAGTGACTTCTTATTAGAAAATAAAATACTCGATTAATTTTAGAAGGACTTAATATATTTATCTTCAGATATATTAACAGTTAAGACTTGTTTTGCCTTTTGCCTTTTTCCTTTGTTCTTATTTTTTATTAAATATTATTCTGAATGTATCATGGCAAACCCAAAAATATTCCACCTGCCCCCCCCCTTCCTTTCCAAAATGACCCAAACGCATTAGGTCCAGACTTTTCCTACATAGAAAGTTTATCCTCCTTAGCCGGACTTCCCGGCAGAATGCTCACAAGTTAGATTAAAATACTGATTTAGCCAATCAGAAATTCTTAACACATTTTTCCCTTAAAATTAAGAAAATAAAGATAGCATTCTATCCACTTAAGTTTAGGGTTTATACGGATTTGACTTCTAAACAGAAATTATTATTTTTTTAAAACGACAAAAACAAAAATATTTTAAAAAAGACGAAAGAGAATAAAAATAAAAAAAACGAGAAAATAAATATTAATTGCTGTTAACTTTACACTAAACAGCATTTGAACTAGGACACCCTATTTTGGTATGGCATTGTATTTCAAAAGTAAGTGGAACCAGGAAATTGTAATAGAAGTACTATATAACAATGAATCCCATTATCCCTCTAATTGCCAGAATTAAATTTAGAAATGACTTTAATAGTGTTTAAATAGTTTAAACTATGGCGAATCATATATGATAAATATTGAGCCAGTTCAAAGTTTTTTTAATAACAATTAACAGTGAATGTAAATTCATTTTATTTTTATTGATTAAATCTTAATACCTTTACATTTAAATAATTTGTTCTTCTGTATTATATAAACATTATGTTAAATACCTTTCCATAGAGAAAATATGCGCCATGATTATAAATTGTATAATCGTTACCATCTCAGGCTCAATAAAAATTTTAAATTATTTTCAAAATTACTTTTATTTTTTAGCTACCTTATCTAAAATTACCTGTTTTATTAGCTAACATTATCTTACCTAACTTAACTTTTTTTTGGTAGTATAGGAAAAAACAAAATTTTAGGATAATTTAAAGACTTCATTGCTTAAATTAGATGTTTATATTTTATATAGATGTCAGTAGCGTACGCAGGAATTTGGTGTAGGGGGGGGGGGGATAATTAAAATTTTTTAAAATAAAATTATTGTTATTTAAAAATATCAAGCATAAATTTATTAGGACGTTATGTTCTATCCCCCTTTCTTTTATTTTTGTTTCTTTTGTTTTCCCATCTTCTTTTATTTTGTTATGAAATTAATATATTATATTTTATTTTTATATAGCATTTGAAACTGGTTCTTACCAGTTTCATGAATAATTATATCGCGATTTAATAACAACTTTTTTTTCCCCCTTTGTTTTAAAAATTATAAAGGTGGAAAACAAGACACCATTAATCATTTTATATTTTTTTTTGTAATAGAATTGTTTCTTTTTTTTAATTGTAATTTCTCGGATTCGAATAAACTTTAAACCTTACGTTGTCCAAGTGATTCCATGATTAAATCGATAAAACCCGGCCCCCCTGGATTCAGTCATTGACCATCACGGACCCCCGATCACGGACTGTATTATTCCCCTTCAGACTGGGGGACCCATCGGTCAAAACACAACAGGACTAATAACTATTTCTAATATACAAATTTAAATTAATATGAATTATAAAAAATTAAATATATAAACCGATATATAAAAATAAATTTGATTTAAAAAATATTAAACGAATATAACCGGCGGCATATAAATACTTTAAATAAATCTGAATTATAAAATATTAAGTGGATATAACCAGGATATGATGATGACTATAAAATAAATAATCCATAATAGAAATTTAAATTTTTTTGAGCTTTTAAAATTTATATATAAAGTATAAAAAATCTAAATGTTGGAAATATGAATAATTATATTTTTTATGTAAAAGAAAAATATATAAGACATTAAAAAATGATAGCACAAAAAATATTATAGAAACATTATATTTTAAAATCCAATCTTCGTTGGGAGGAAGCTAATTTTTCAATTATCTCATCCGTGTTTGGCGTCAAATGCCTATGAATATTCAAAAGGGTCAGACCATTCAACCTACTTTCAGAAGTTGTACTTCTTAGGTACGTTTTTAATCTTCTTGTTAATAGTGTTGTTTATTCAAATTTGTAAAATAATTAATTGAGTATTAAGTTAAATGTTTTGTTACATATTGTGTTGTTTATTCAAATTTGTAAAAATAATTTATTGAGTATTAATTTAAATGTTTTGTTACATATACCAGTATATATACCAGTCGATTATATACATAGTATAATTATTATTATTTTATTTTTTAAAGTAGAAATAAAATTTTATCTAAACTTAAATTTTACTTGTTTATTTTATGGTGCCCCGGTACGTTTTTGTAAAAAAAAAGAAGAATCAAATATTATTCACTACCTTACCTATTATGACTATCTTATCTATTGGGACGATTGCTTAATCCATTGAGATGACTCTATTTATATGACTACCTAGTGTGGTGACTACCTATTGTGACGATTGCTTAATCCATTGAGATGACTCTATTTATATGACTACCTATTGTGGTGACTACATTGAGATGACTCTATTTATATGACTACCTATTGTGACGATTGCTTAATCCATTGAGATGACTCTATTTATATGACTACCTATTGTGGTGACTACCTATTGTGACGATTGCTTAATCCGTTGAGATGACTCTATTTATATGACTACCTATTGTGATGACTACCTATTGTGATGATTGCTTAATCCATTGAGATGACTCTATTTATATGACTACCTATTGTGATGACTACCTATTTTGTTGATTGCTTAATCTATGGAGATGACTAGAATCAAACCTTAGCACTTTCATGCAAAAAGCTTCTTTCTTCATGGTGTCCTGGCTCTGGATGTTGGACTGGAATATGATAACCAGCACCTAACCTAATGTGACAACCTAGAAAGAACCAATATGGAAGTTGGACGTTAGGTTATGAATTCTATATTGTGAGACCAATGATGATCACTTATTATTATAATCCACGTAAGAAGAAAAGTTATTTGAAATTAAAATTTTATGCCGAGATAAAGGCATGTTGTAAATTTACTTATTAAAATAACTTAAATGTAAATCAATAATGGACATATTTGAACACATAAAAGCCTTAAAAAATTACTTACTTAATTTCTTAGTGAAATATTGATATTTTTTTTTTTGGATTTATTGTATGATGACCAATTTTTGTAAATTAACTAAACCTAGAGATGAATTTTTAGATATAAACCATTAAAAATCCTAAACAAGAAGATAAAACTTTAATTTTAAATATATTAAAATGTAATTAAAACATGAATTAAAAGGTTTAAATCACATGATAGATTTACATAACCCTTATAAGTAATACTTAATATGATAAAAATGTTTTTGAAATAAAGCTTTTGAAGACAAAAGGTTATGTAAAAATTAAACATCATTATTTTAGAAAAATATTGTGTGAAGTTTAAATTTTTTTTAAGAGAGGGAAATGTGCATAATATTTGCATATTTTAACCTCGGAGATTGAAAATAAATAAAAATAAATTAAATATTAAAACGCTACTAATTAAATATTAAAACGCTACTAATAAAATATAAAACGCAAAATTTAAAAAAAAAACGCGAAATTTTATATAATTTTTTTGATTTATCATTCTTATGTTATTCTACATTCCAAAAATTTTATTCCAAATTCTTTTATTCCAAAATTTTATTCCATATATTCAAACTTGATCCTTATAATAATGATAACGTACAGCAACTTTTCTAACCTACAAAAACGTATGGACTCACGCCATCAGACAGACTTATGCGCCCTCTGAGCAGCAACTTGATGCTTTGTCGAGGAGGGGAATGTTAATAGTGTTGTTTATTCAAATTTGTAAAATAATTAATTGAGTATTAATTTAAATGTTTTGTTACATATACCAGTATATATACCAGTCGATTATATACATAGTATAATTATTATTATTTTATTTTTTAAAGTAGAAATAAAATTTTATCTAAACTTAAATTTTACTTGTTTATTTTACTTCTTAAAGAAGAGAATGTTCTCTCATTAGTTGCAGTACTAATGGGAAGAGTTGCTAATATATATAATAATTTAATTATTGGGAAAATAATCTAAAAGATGTTTGAAATGATGCAAAGCATCATAGCATTTTTTGGGACTATATCAACCATAGTTAATCTTTTATACCATAGTTGGCATTCAGCTAATAAAGCATCATGAGATACATTAATGTCTTCATGATAAAAATCTTCCAAATATTTTATTTTTTTTCTATCACCATCTGAAAAAGGTTCAGAGGGCTTTTGCGGAAGTAATATCTGCAGATTGATAAGTGTTTCTTGATAAATTAAAAACCTTTCATTTACTTGGGTTATAAATGTATCCAAAAGAGGTATAAAGACATTTATTTTATAATATTCTTCTATTGACCCTATATTAATATTTGGACGATAAGTTTGCCTTACTGTAAGTCGAGGGAGACAAATATTGAACTCGTATAGCTCTGCTTTTGATTCAACATTAACATATAAAATATGAAATTCCTCATCAGCATTAGCTCTAATTTCTTTGAGTTCTAATAAAATTGTCTCTGCTATTCTCATCATCTCAATCAAATCAATATCAGGTTTTTGAAAAGTATTACATAAAATAGTTGTATAATTAAATAATTTATTAATACATTCTAATGCGAAAAAAAAATTTGGTATATGTATTGAATCCAGTAACTTGCTTGCTTCTGAAGAAATATCTCTTTCAGAACATTGTGATATTTCTGTAAGAGCATTAATAATCGGCTCTTCTAACTCGATAAAAGCTGTTACTGCTTTTTGTCGAAGACTCCATCTTGTTGGACAAGCTTTTTGCAATTTTTTTCTCCTTGTTGGGCAAGGAGTTTCAGATATAATTCTGTTCAAAATATTTTGACGCTTGGGGTATCTAAACATCTCATAGATGCTTAATATTTTACCTGATATAAATATAAAAAATTTAATTTAATAATTAAAAACCTAAGCAATTTGATATCAATGGTAAAGAACATGAATCCGATATTGCTAAGTTGAGTGAATGGGCAGCACAATGGACATATATAGCTGTTGGGCATTTTTTTTAATAAATGCCTGAAGCCCATTGAATTGTCCACTCATTGCACGTGCTCCATCATACCCTTGCCCACGTATCATATTTATATTTAGCTATATTTTTGAAAATAATTATATAATAAGATTAATTATTACTTTTAATTTTTTAAGATTCACAAATATTACATCAGCTAAAGCAGACCCAGTCATGCTTGAAACAGGAATAAATTGGAGAAACATTTCCTTGATAATGTTTTTATGAGTATCTACATATCGCGCACACAACGACATCTGCTCAATGCCAGCAATGTCCGTGGTCTCATCTGCCAAAATTGAGAAGCAAGGGGCAGAATTGATTTCATCAATTTTCTCATTTTATATCCTAGGGCTGAGATAAGTAGCATTTTTATTGGTACTAATGAGGCTCTCCATTAATACAGGATCTCCTAATGCTTTAAAATTTAAAAGTCCACGGAAATTACCTTCGTTATCATTATTATTAATAATTTAAGCTTCCTGAATCCTTGTGGCCACGAAGTGCTAGGCATTGCAAGCCACAATATAAAATAGCCTCAATAGTTAGTTTTATCTTGCCTCTATTTTCTTTTGCAATTTTAACCCTATTTTTATCAATTATTGATGAAATGGGAATCATATCCCCCTTTTGAATTGATTCTTTTGAGGAAATCATCAGTTCACAGCTTTTGTTTATTAAATTATCATACTATAATTTTTTGCTTTTTGGCATGATTTTCACCTTCAGCGTTTTTTAAAAAAAGTCTAATATCCATGACTAGAAATTTGAAAATTATAATACCGGGAAATTTAAAAATAATAGATAAATATTACGCTACAAGGAAAACTTGAAAATGAAATTAATTGATAAAGTAAATTAGTAAATGAAAAAGGTAATAATATAAAAATTTAAAAAGAAATAGGATATGAATATGAATAATTATAATAAAATATAAAAATATAAAAATAATATTTTTGAAAAATATGTCCAGCATCTGCATTCCCCCTATCCCCCCCCCCCCCCCCGCTGCGTACGCCAATGATAGATGTATATGCATTATAATATTTTTTAAAATATATTAATTCTTTATAAACTTAATTAAAATAAAGATTGTAAAAGTCCATGATCGTAACACGCCCCATTTCAATTGGTATTTTAGTGGCAACAAAAAAATGACATATAAATGCCACCTTTATGATGTTATGATTACTTTTCGATATAACACAATTTATAGTTATGGAATACAAGGTACCGTAATACAAAGGACTAAAATAATTTTATTAAATTAATCATTAATAATAAACCATTACAGAGTTAAACTAACATTAATAAATTAATCATTAAATTAAAATTAGAGCATTAAATACTTATAATAAAGCATTAAAAAGTTATATTTCGACCTAATCTTTCGACTTCTTCAACTACGAAAATCAAATCCTCTTTTACCACGGCCGGATTTGTGATTACCATCCGAAAAAAATTTACTTTATCAAGTAAAGGTTGGTAGCTTATCATCATAGTTCCACTTTCCATCATCTTACGTTTAATAATTGGGGCAACCTAAAAAGGAAATAATAATGAAGCGATTGGTCAATGTTCTATCATTTATGGTATCAACGTTATGCAATCAATTTTTTGCCTGTACCCATTATTTGAGTCCGGCAAACTAATATGTTATTTTTTTATTTTTACTCAAACGCTCATTTTTTCCGGTTGCCTTAAAAATAATCTTACCTTTTTTTTCTGCCAGTCCAATATTATTTCTTACTTTTTCGGATCGCAACTTGTTTATAAAATAATTAATTTTACCCCACTAGGATCATCAAAGACAATAATCGTATTTTATCAATTGGATCAAAATCTATTTCAGATCACAAGGGAAAAAAAAATAGAGTTGCGGGACTCAAATTGATGTCAGTGTAATAAAAAATCTATTATATCAAGAAAATTAAAAAAATCAGGCTTTTAAATGCTCTTTAAAATAAAAAAATTTTGAAAGATTTTGTTGATCCCTGAAGTTTTTTTTTAGAATAAAAATTTTTTTATTTTTGATTTACCTAAAATTTTAAAATCTTTCACAATTAAATTTTTTTTTGTGAGTTTATATAAAAAAAGATAAAACCCCATATTTTTTTAAAAAAAGGTTTTCGAAAGAATAATCAATTTTGTGTTCTTCAAAGGTTTTTTGGATTTTGTGTCAAAAAATCTTGAAATATTCTTTGAAGATTTATTTTCAGTTTTTGGGAAAAAATTTATGCAAAATTTTTTAACTAACCTTGTTAACTAATAATGATTCAAAAATGAATTAAAATGCTAGATTTATACCTTTAGGCCAGAATTTCTTTCTTTCTTCGACCCCAGTCTGACCCGAGGAATTCAAAATTTATTTTTCAACCCAACCCGAATCCGATTAAATTTTTTAAAATTTGAGTGTGAATATTATAATAACCAAAAAACAATTAAAAATTATGTGTATATTACCTTAAATAAAAGTTTATTTGACCGCCATAATATAATCAATATTTATTTTAGGTTGCATTTTATTTAAATTGGAAACATATACCTTTTAGTCAGTTTAAACATTAAAAGAGTTGAAATACAATCGAATTTAAAAATAATCACTATTATATCAATAGTATCACATAGTAAATAATTGTGATAAATAAATAATGAGGAATAGAGTTTGTCAGGCTTTAAACAAGTCCTCTTATCTAGGCCCTACCAGTACCTGAAAGCGCTCTTTCCTGCTAGCTGAGGAAGCAAGGATAGCAAGGAATTTAAGAGTCAAAACATTTTAATTGGGAAAATTGTTTTGATAATATTCGACCAATTTAAGATTTGGTAAACGATTTTAAATACTGAAAATTTGAGGCTATCTAATTAAATTATTTTCATTAATCTGAAAGAATATGATGTAAATAAAGTATGTAATTATAACATAACAATAAATAGTTTGGTAAATAATTGAAAATGACATCTTATTCTGATTGACATTTCAATGATAAAATGTGATAGAAAAAAAATGATATTTATTTTAATTGACATTATGAATTAAGATGAGTATTTAAGATATTTATATTTATTTGTCGGGTCGGGTCGAGTTTCGGGTCGGACACCCCTTACAACCCAACCCAAACCCGAGTCCAAAAATAAAAAGTCTTTTATTTCCAAACCCGACCCAAACCAGAGCTCGGATCGGGTCGGGCTACGGACAACCCGTATACCTCTATTAGCGACCAATCTTGTTTTATTTATATATATATATATAATGTTTTATATAATCTTATAAATTGTACATTAATATTTTACGTTTTTTTTTAATAATAACCTTTAACAGACATATTAACATTGGTACCAAAGAAATTTTTTTTAAAATTTAGAATTAGTAAAATTGTCCGATAATATAGCTGGAATTATGGTTAAGCTAGAAAGCAAATTTAGGCCCAAATCTCAAAAATTAAGAATAGAAATTAAATCAGTAGTTAGAGCGAATGTTACTGATTTACAAATTAAAATACGATGTTCTCGACACTTGATCTTTAAGGTTATATCAAAATGTAGCTATCACCAGTGTCATTCAGACATAAACACAAAACCTTTATAAAACACTATATTCTATTCACTCATAATAGCTAAACTTTTAAAATAAGACAAATATAGAATAAAAAAACCTTTCCTAACAAGGCATATTTTTCTTCACTTTCTTTCATATCCCTGATCGATGGAGGCAAATACCAAAAACATACGTTTGTGCATTCAGGCTTATAAGTAAAATAAAAGTAAAAAAATGTGTATGATAAATAATATATAGAGAGTAAATAAAACATAAAATATCTGTCCATACTCGTTTGATCTATTTTATTTTAAGGATCGAGCATGCGCTTTAAAAAGGGACTCTTTTTGAGACCAAGTTCTTTAATATATCTTTCGAAGAAGATATATAAAATTATACAATTAAGAATTAAATTAAAATTCTATGCATCAAATTCGAAAACTAACCATTCAAATAAATGAATAAATTGATAGAAAATAACTATGAAATAAATAATTTAATTACTGGTATATTTTATAATTTTTCCTTTTTGTCGTCTAAATTTCGGTTGAATATGACAGTGAATATCAATATTATATACTTATCTCTAATGTATATAATACACATTTACAAAATAATTCATCTATCCTAAATCGATCTTAAAAGTCCTTAAAATATAATACAAACTTGGATTGAACCATTTTTGTGGATATAAACTCTTTCACAAAAAATAGATTTAACTTATTAAATAGAATAGATAGTCTTTTAAAATTTTAGATATAATAGGTAATTAAGAATCAATCTCTTTCTAACATTAATAATATATTACTATTAATCGGGTATAGAAAATCTGAAAAATAATGATCTCATATACTTCTAGATATTTATATGAATCTCGGAATAAAAGCTTGTGAAAAAAAACAAAACGAAAGATAAAAGTCCAAGGCGAAAAAAAACTTGACGGAAAATAAAACACATAGAAATAAAAAATTGTGGGAAATAAAATTTTAGGAATAAAAAATTCCTCCGATATAAATGCATATATTTTAAAATAAAGAAAACTATTAAGGTCAGACATTGTACCTGTCTGTATTTATATATTTTGACATCAGATCGGATCTTTATTATATTATGAAGAGAGATTAGTCATTTATATCATTCAAGATTTAGATAAAATCGCGAGATTATGGGAAGTTCGAAATGAATAACTATTTGATGTTGGCGCTTGGTGTTCTAGATATATCTAAATTAAGTTTAACTTACACACAAACTTAAGTAATATCATCTTAAAAACTAGTAATACCAATGGTAGAAGGAAAGGTGATAATCAAAAAGCAAGAGTGTGGAATTCATTAATTAAGACAATCTGTACTTTAATCTTATATTAGTTTTCATTTCATTAACAAGTAGATCCCTTAGGATGTGACCTTGATTCGACCTATTTTTGATACTTACTTCTATTTAGTCATAAACAGCTGAACTAGGGCACCGTATTTGTTTTTTTTTCTCTCTATCTTACTTTTTAGGTTGTTTAGTTGAAGCTGTACAACCTGCTAAAGAGCAAATAAGCGAAAAAAAACAAAACAAAAAGAGAAATAAAAAACCAAAATTGACAATGCCACCAAACACTTAAAACAAACCAGAATAGCTTAAGTTTAGAAACTGTTAAGTCTAAGCTAAACAGAAATAAGAATCAAGAATAAATCGAACCAGGACACATCCTTGGATTTTATGTTAAAAGCAGTGTCCATAAAAAAAAGTCTTTTATGAACCAATCAATTATTATATTAGGTAAAGTCAATATACAAAACCTCTAACACGGAGGTTGCATAGGACTAGCCGGAGGTGGCAAAGGGAAAACCCGAAAATGTCACTGTTCTCATAAATATCATTATAAGCTAACAAAAATCCCTCCACTACCACTCTCTCCCCCCAGAATATATACAGTATATCACTAAAAAGAAGAATTTTAAAGAAAAATTAGCAAATGTTATTAACTTTTATAAATATGTCTACAATTCAGAAAGAAGCATTTTTATTAAAAAAAATTTAAAACCAAAATTATTTTTTAAAAATTCTTCCTCTCTTATCTTATCTTATCTTATCTTATCTAGCACGTGATCTAATAAAGTCAAAGGCCTTCAATGAGTCGAGTCGACCTAAAGACTTCCAATAAAATTTTGGTGAAGACCTCCACCTAATCCTTCCCCCAAGGTCATTATTCATGTTACATTTTAGTTATTTGTTGGGGAGAGGGGTCAGCGTCATCGGCTAAAGTGGTCTGGAAAGTACTGCTGGATTGAGAGGACCGAATCAAAAGAGTGACAATCATTATATCCTATTGACACATAAAGTATATATTCCAAAAATATCATGTCAATCCTCATACATACATTTATAATATCTATTTGTACTTCTTTTAATATTAATTCGAAACCTTCTCGGTCTTTGATTGCATCCACAAAAAATCTACATAATTTTTTTTAAAGAATTTATATAATGGCTTGCTTCAAAGCTGATTTACTTTTTAAAATGTAATAATGAATGAATGTATATAACTGCCTAATAAAAAGAAACTTAGGAACAGTTGCATCTTATTAATCTCATTTCATTATACTTACGAAAGTATAAGTCAGGTGAAGATTAGTAAACAAACTAAGGAAACTAAATTAAATTATTTAAACTCATATATAAATAAAATAAAGATAAATAAAAATATAAATATAATTCACTTGCTCATATCCCATAGATAATCTACTTGCTTTTCGATTCCAAACGTTCCCTTTAAAAATTATAATATAGATTTATTCTATTTTTTAAAACATTCTGTTTCTTTCTAACCTTTGCCTGCCACATAATCCATAATTTTAAAACATCCACGTGTCTACCACATTGAATCGATTTATCTCCGATGTCGTAATTGATATCATATGGTTTATCCTTTTGATATAAGTAGGTTGCGCCCATTTGATTGCATTCTTGTAAGAGACCCTGTAAATTTTGAATGTAACAATTTTATTTTTAAACTAAATCTGATATTTCATAGCTCTATAATTTTTATAGAGTTGTCATTATAAGGAAACTATATTATAGCTTATATTGAGAATTATCTGGAAATGTCATATTCATCTAATAATTTAAGCTTTTTTAAAACTAACAACCAGGTTTAGATGTGGCATTAAAATATATTAAAATTGAGTATGGAAGTTTTTTTTCATTAAACATTTTAGAAGAATAGTTTTCTTTGTAAACTTTGTGCTTGGTAAGAAAAGCTGAACATTGTAACAAAGCACCCATTAATTTATGCGGGTTCCAAGTAACGGAATCTGCCCTGTTTTGTAAAATAAAATTACAAATTATTTGTATTTTATTGAGGAATTACATTTCTATCCCTTTTAATAAATTTCTATGCTTGCGTGACAATAGAGCTCCACCACCCCATGACGCCTATAAAATAATACAAAAAAAACGTAATACACTTGTCAAGAAGAACAAATCTCGAGGCTTAGATAATATTATTTTTTAGCTAAAATCTTGTTCTCTCAGTTTTTAAGCAAAATCAGGTCTTTCAATAACACCCTGGTTAAACGCTAAATGCCGCCTGTCGCTCAAGTGATGAGTAATACGTCGCTAGCTATAACTTATAATTTAAATATATTTTATATATTACCTATCGTTTAGCGACATCGCGGTATCTAACGGTTACTAGAAGTGGGCCTTAAGTTTAAATATCCTATACACAAAAGAAATCATATAACAATCATTATAATAATGCATATTGTAAACAGTAAAGAAAAATATAACTCAAATTAAAAAATGAGATAGGTATTATGATTTTTACGTCGACGTGAAACCATAAGCCGTATTTGCGACAAATATCACCGATAGGTTCTAATAAATCGAAACTTCCATAAACAGTAGTTCCAGAGGTAGCGTTAACCATTAACGGACGATTTCCTTTTTCCAAATGCTCTATTATTTTCTGTTCTAAGTTCTTGATCAACATGTGACCTCTGAGTATGATTTTTTATTTTTCGTTAGAATTTAGACATGAATAAAATAATTCTAAAAATTTAAATTACTTTTCATCGCATTCAATGTGCATTACATTGTCTGTTCCAATTCCTGACACCGCTGCAGCTGATTTGATAGAGTAATGACACTTCATTATCCGATTAATAGTTATATATATTATTTATTTTTTTAGATATATAAACTATTGAATATTATAATAGACATAATTAAGTTTTTACATGCTGTGAAGTGAAAATGATTAAAGGTTTATCCAATGAAATATTTCCCTTTTGCTTAGCCGTTGGGTTAGACCAGTACCTAGCGCACAATACACCATACAAATTAGAGATAGTTCCACCTTTAATACATGAATCAAACTTTTATTCATTTAAAATACGATTTAACCAGGTGAAAATATTCCATCGGCATTGTGAAATCCAATGAGTTCGCACATTTTATCAATCACAAATTGTTCCATGAGGATATACACGGGAGAGATCTCGTATGTGAACCTTGAAAATTAATATATACTATAAATCTTACTTGCAATTGGTGGCAATTTAAGGCACTTGGCGATACTTTTCTTCTAAAAAATGAATTCCTAATTCTCTTTCCTCGAATTGAAAGTTATTGAAAAAATATAAAAAAGTAATCAAGACTATTTACAAATGGCTAAAGTTAGGATATTAATTGTTATCAACTTATATAAGATAAAATCATAAGGCCATGCCCTAGGTCGGCTTAATACTTAATAGCCGGCTATTTAGTCGTTTTTTTAACTATCGGCTAAATAGGCAAAGAAGCAAAAGAAAAATTTTTATAAAAAAAATGAAAAAAACAAAAAATGAGAAAGAATAAAAAACAAAAATCGAGATACGATAAATAACAATGCCACCAAATATTTAAAATACCAAAATAGGGTATCTTCGATCAAATACATTTTGGCCTATACTAAAAAGTCAAAGTATCCAAAGCCGACCTAGGATACAGCCTAGGCGTTTAAAAATAAAAATACTTAATAATTTAAATGATATTAATTAAATAATATATAAATATACATGTTAGAGTTAGTCACTGCAGTCAAAATCTCTCCGGCCAGACTCAAGATATCTAACCCACTTGTTAATTGATTGTAGAACCGTGGGTGCCCTTATAAAAAGATAGCATAATAATATATAATATTTGGGGATTTATTATACTTGAAAACATCAATGTCAACTTTTTAAATAAAATTACTTAGTGTATACTACACAAACGAAAAGCTATTTATAGTTTCCATATATATTTTTTTTCCCCAAAAAATATTAGAAATTAACTACTAAAGAAAATTGTTTTTAGAGTGACCTTAAGGCCATCAAAAAGTTTAAAGTTGATAATTGCTAGGATACTAATTATATATTGCAGAATATAAATTAATTAAATAAGAGTACTTATTATAGCAAATTCAAAAATAAGCTTTAGCTCTTTTTTTAGGAGCATTTTTATTGGTATTCTATAGTTTAATATTAAAGCATTCCCTAAATAAATAAAAGGCCTGTGATGTTTATGGCTAAGTTATAATACCTTAATTTAATATAATTTATAAAAATTAACATCCTAAATATCTCGCTTATAAAAAAAATTAACTCTTTCTTGTAGTTTTTTTTTTTATATTTGAACAATTATGCGATATTAAAGACCCCTCCATATGTTAACGAGAAGGATGAGAAATAAAATTAATATTATATTAGGTTACCTGTTTTAACTTGATATTTAAGTACTAAATTACAAAGATCTATCACATCCGACAAACTTTTGCTATTTTTGTTGCCCTTCTTACTAGTATCTTCGTAATTTGTGGAACCATCTGGAATGTTAAAATCAATCATTTTCATTAAGTCCTCAGGTTTGGTAAAATCCAAAACCTTAGAATCCCTGTTATTTTCGTAATTGATGTAGTTTATGACTAAGTCAAAAATTTGTTTCAAAAATAATTTCGTGATATTTGAACTATGGCCGTTAGGCCCATCGCTGTTATACGGAAGCAAATCTAAGTGAATATATATTATTATAGTTTTATTACATAAAAAAATAAAATGTAACTTGAAAACGCAAACTTGATTACAAAATGAAAACTCAAATAAATTAATGACTATTGACAAATTACGGAGAATGATCACTAGATAATAGTTTTTTTTAAACTTTGGAAATTTGTTATAGTTTATCTCCCAGTTTTGACATTAGCCTTTCCCCAAAGCGATCCATTCATATCATTCTAATTTTAGGAGGTTAACTCAGGAGATGCCTGCTTGTTCAACCTAACAGTCCCTTATTTCAAATCGAAATTAGTATAAATTTAAATTAAAAGGAAAAGGAACATATAAAATTATTGAAAGTACCAAATAATATTATTATTCTTAAACTTATTTATTTCAAAAAATAAACCACATTAGGAATTTTAAAATGCTTCAGTTCTTTCTATATTATTATTTGATATACTAAGAAAAATTAAGTGCTCAAAATTAGATTTTTTTTAATATCCACCAATCATATATATTTGATTGAAGTATGTTTTAAACATTTCGAGATTATAAGAAACTAAATTCTTAATCATAAAATTTTTATTTTTAGAGATAGATGTATAAAACGTTACTTCGAGAAGAAACGCGTTACTCGTTACGTTTGAAAAAAAACGAGTTACAATTATTCGTTAAGGAACGCGTTACACGTTACTTAAAAAATACAAAATATTATATAAAAATCTTCTTTTTATTTTATTTTTTTTTCCCATAGATAATAAAAATTTTATTATACTAAAATAACATATTACAAGATGTTCTTTTTATAATAATTTATTTATTTATTTTTAACAATTGATTTTCAAAATTTTGATCAAATAAACGAAAGCGCTTAGTGCCAAACACAAGTTCAATTGGGGCAGAGGAGGAGGGTTATATTATATTTAATAAATAAAATCATCTTCACAAGAATCTTCATTCAGATTCTCATTAAATTTTCTTTTATCTTTATCAGAATTTAATTCTGAATTCATTTTTTTGGAAACGAAATTGAACTATTTGAATTAGGGCACAATCTATACTTACAAAATGTAGAACTTGGTGTCCTTAATTCTCTTTATTCGTGTAAAAAAATGTTTTATATTTTGGCCAGGAGAGAATTAAATTATCCTACCTAGAAATAAGTATTATTGATATATAACAAATTGTAATATTCGAGAATAAAAATTAACATACCTTAATTGATTCAATATTAATTAGATTAGGAATCTAAGACTAGTATAGCTCGAAACAACAAAGATTTTATGATATATATAATACAATATGATAGATATTTTTGTGGTTGAAATCATAAACTTATATTGAATTTGAAGATAAGATTATTCCATAAAATTCTAACATATACAAAACAAGGGTAAATATTATTTTTTCACATATTTTTTAAGAAAAATGTAACGATTCAACGTTTTGCACGTGACCGTTACTCAAATAATGTAACTACCGTTAGTAAAGACATTACTTTACCGCACTAATAGTAGAATACATATATGATTTTAAAGTTGTGCGAGAGACATAATAACTTCTGCCTTGACCTATATTTTCCACAATAGCGATTTTAACATAAGCCAGTTACATGAATGTCCAATAATAATCAAATATACTATCTAAAATTGACATTAACAGGTCGGTTTAAAGGCGATAATATTAAACAGTATATGTAGGATAGAATAAAATATTGCCTTGTGTAGCACTTTATTGGGAATCAAATCTCTTCAAGTTCCAACACAAATTAAGACCCATTACCAAAAAACAACTATTTGACCATTTGGTACAAGGTTAAATCTTTTTATCTCTCTTATCGTATTCTGTTCTAACTGTTAAGTTAGAAATTGTTCCTTAGCTTATCGTCAATTTTAGAGAGTATATTATTATATAGATTGGACATCATGATAACTGGCTTATGATTAATAATCGCAGTTGATGTCTGAATTAATTTTTTGAATAGAGAGATTCGATTCCCAATTTGCTCTGATAATGTTGTTCAAACCACGTTTAAGTTATCACTATATGAACGCTACTATTAAGGCCAATACTAGTATATTTGATAATTTCAATTTATTAATATTGTCTACTCTCTGTTTAGGAAACAATTTCACGTGCATTTGAACTTAAAATTCTAAGAAAAATATGTGAAAAAAATAAATTTACCCTTGTTCTTGTATATGTTACTAAATGGATTATGCATTATCTTCACTTCCAACATTCTAAGTTTATGATCAACCACCAAAATTCTAGATCGTATTGTATTAAAAACATCATAAAATCTATGTGTTTCGAGCCAACTATACTTAGTTTCCTCGAATCGCAATTGAAAGCCCTTGTATTGACCGTCGCCCTCCTTTACTTTTTTTAAAATGTTATTTTAATATAGATTTTCATATCAAGTTATATTTTAATATAAATATAGAGATCATAAATAAAACCATATTAATAATAAAATTAAGATTATTTAAAACAATGACTAAAATACGAAATTTAAAAAATGGAGTTATTTTTGATCCAAAATAAATTACTAAATCATCATTGGAATCTTAAAACTAATCTTAAATTGATAAAATCATTTTGATCAAAATATAATTACATATATACTAACTTTTCCGTGCAAAAATTGTTAAAAGAGACTAATTGTAAAACCAGAGTTATTTTTTGTTTAGCCCTGTATTTTATTTTAATATGATAAACGAATATAAAAGAGGATATCATATTGATATTGATTACAAAACTCTAATATAATATATAGATTTTAAAAATGAAGGTTCTTAGAATATTTGAATTTTCTGGATAAAATAATAGACCATTACAAATTAATTTTTTGGTGGTCTAATATATCTATTCGTAATTTAACTAAAAAAAAAATTTAGCTGAGCAAACTTTTAAGTAATAAGTTATTCTTATTATATAAATCATTCTGAATTGTGTATTTCTCAAAGTTTTTAAAGTAAATTAACATTTTTTTTCATAGTGTTGTTAAAAACCCTAATTTGCGATTAAGATTATAACCAAAATAATAATATGTTGGCTGGAGATTTTGATAGATGGTAGGAACATTTATATATCTATTCCAAATTACGAGGTTTGCATAATATTATGACTAAAATCTTAATCGGTCCTGTTTTAAAATCGGGGTTCAAACCAACAATATTTTTACATTGTAAAATTGATTTAAATTGCCTCAGAACAAATTCTAAACGAAAATAAATTATAGACTAACCTGTGTAAAAGGAATTATTTAGAACCTTTAAACTTTCTTGTTTCATGGTTAAACTCGACTTTTTGGAAAGAGAACTTTGATGAAGAGAGGAGGAATTATTCAGAATATTTAAACCATCTTGTTTCATGGTTAAACTAGACTTTTTGGAAAGAGAACTTTGATGAAGGGAAGAGGAATTATTCAGAATATTTAAACCATCTTGTTTTATGGTTAAACTCGAATTTTTGGAAAGAGAACTTTGGTGAAGAGAAGGGTTCTCTGAGATTTTGATAGAAGACATAGTACTAAGATTAAATTTTGACATAGAAGAGCTATAAATTAAAATAAAAGAGATTTAAAAGAATTTATTCAAAATTTTTTTAGAATCCTAGACATTCTTTTTTATTTTTTTTGAATATGAATTTTTAATATGAATTTTTAATGCAATTAAGTAATTGGCGGGATAAATTGGCCAATGAAGGTAAAGGATTACTACCATTTCGTTTACTAGTTAGACAGGTATTCATAATCGTTCAGTAATTCGCAAGAAGTGAAATTCATCATGAATTCGGCAAATAAAAAAATAATTTTTTAAAATAATATTTATTATATTATATTTTCAATTTTTTTTTTTTTTTTTTTATGAGAATGATTTTTATATTTTTTGGGTAAAAAACATTTTGACAAAATAGATAAAACCAGGTAAGTTTTTTAAAAGATGAACATAGGTAAGAAATTATTAAATATAAAAATTCATCTTCACACCAAATTTAAAATCTTTGTGCTCAAGGGTTTAAAAGTTATTCGTGTTAACATTGTTACCCCGTCAATCGCTTTACCCCGGTCTCCCCTACATAGAGAAAATTTTTTAAGAGATATATAACAATAGTATATAACATGTATGGAACGATAATTATTAAAAGTAAATTATATAATTATAATAATTACATATAAGGTGGATAAAGATATAAAGAAGAAGAAAAATTTAAAAGGAAAAAAATTAAAAAAATATAATATAAAAATAAATGCAGAAAAAATTTTCTTTATACTTTCCTATATGTAAAATAGTAAATTATTATAAATATTATATCATAAAAACATGATTATACATATAGAACTAGGCAGGAAAAGAGTGTTTCAAAGAAACACTTATAGTTCCCTCTTAAGATTTCGAATTGTATCTTTTGTTTGAGGGACAGGGACTCGTTTTTCCCCCCTGTCCTTATTGAGATTTTTTTTCCCAATTGATTTAAGAATTTTTGGGATTGGGGACCTAGGTTCCCCAAAACGCTAAAAATTAGGGGGATAAAAATAAAAGAATTAATGAGGGATCTATATTTGTTGATTTTATTAGTTTCTTGGAGATCCAAGGGGTCAGAGTTTCTGTTAGCAGGGAAAGAGGTAACGCAAGAGACATCCCAGACAAGTTTTTTGCCACAGTGCCAAGATGTCAAAGATAAGCCATCGGGACGCTTACCATCCTCATTTAGGAGACCTAACGGCTCCAAGCTATTGGGGAAACCGGCCGAAATCAAAGATTTGCCGATTAACCTATTTATGTTGTCGTGTCTCAAGAAACGGCCACTAACTTTGAGACAAGAGAAACAATGTCTAGAGAATAGATCCACCTGCTTATTACATGCCGCACAGGTGTCAACAGAAGGGATAAGACAACCTAGCCTATGACCAATGGCAATTTGGAACTCGTCGTTTGTGAGTAACGTTTCCTTTTTACCACTCGGAATCGCGTCTAGCCATTCATGGCCGTTAGAATTTTTTTTGCGTTTCTGAGTAGTTGAAGGTTAGTTAGATCGGCAAACGAACAAAGTTTTTCAAAAGCACATTGAAGCATGGGGACCAGGAAGCTCTTTAGATGGCTGGAGACTGGCTGCCCGAATCCTTCAAGAACTAGAGTTAGCCAAGATTGTTTGGCAGAGGTTAAAAGGGGATCGTTCAACCCTATAAGCGAGGAGATGGAATCGTTAAATGAAATTCGAGACGAAAGAAAACTGGCAATTGCCATTAAAGGGGGGGGGGGAAATCCAAGACCACCCCGGAAAGCGGGCATAGAGGCAAAGGACCAATTAAAGTCGGAAAAGTTTAGGACTAAAAGCGATTCGATAAAATGTTTAAATTTTAAATCGAAGGACTTCAGAAGGTGATCATATTGGAAAGCAGGGGAAGATTTAAAGATATGTAAGAATTTAGGTAAGAACAAGCATTTTTTTGTGAGGAAAAAGAACTGATGCTTGGGGAGATGAGGAAGAATCTTAAGAGAGTTAAAGAGAGATTGGATCAGATTGTCAAAAAAATTTTGACAGAAGGAAGATGAGGATCCGATAGGAGAACCCAAAAGACAGAGATCCTCGTGTAAGATAATTTTAAAGTCAGGGGGAGGGATAAAAACCACGTTGTTAAGAGAGGAGATTTCGCATTTCTTCCTATTAAGGGAAAGGCCAATTTTAGAGGCTTCTAACTCAACGTACTCGATGGCCGACAAAACATTGGGTAAAGATCCGCCAAACGAGCCATCGTCGAGATACCATAGATTTAGATCTAAATTGAAATCTGGTTTCAAATTTTTTATAAAGTCCTGAATACCTAATGTAAATAGCAAGGGACCTAGTGGATCACCTTGCTGGATCCCCTCTTCAGAGAATATGGAAAATTTCCCGAATTTAAGCAACGAGGGAAAACCGTAGCAAGAATTAAGAAAATTCCAATATTTAGGAAAATGTTGTAGGAAGGAGGGTAGGAATGAGCTCCTATGAATGCTATTGAAGGCATTTCTGAAATCTAACTTACAGAAAACTTTCTCAGCCTCAGTATTTATAAAAATGCGAGCTACATGTGAGGCCACTTCACATCCGCCCCTGACTCCAAATCCTAACTGAGGGGGAAAAAGGAGGGAACTGGCCTTAGAACGGATCCTATTGACTATGACCTTGGCTACTAATCTACGAAAAAACGATCCTATGGCTATTGGTTTAACACCACCATCCGGTTTGGATAAGGAAACAAGACGAGCACCAAAAAGGATGGGGCGGATATCAAGAGGAACTTCGCATATGAGGATATTATTACAAAGTTCGGTGACTGATTTAAGCAAAGGGTCAATGAAACCACTATCAGTGCAACGGATTAGATCAACAAAGAACCCTGGTCTGAAACCGTCTAATCCACCTGTCGTCCCTTTCTTAAAGGACTTCAAGCCCTTGAGAATTTCATCGCAGGAAAAGGGAGCAGGAGAAGAGCCGAGAGGGTGAATGTTAAATGGGGAAGCAGGTGGATGCTTCTCGAGAAGCTGTTGAAAAGTAGAAGCATTAATAGGAGAAATGGTATCATCAGAAGTTAGAATACGGGCAGCACCACTGATATCACCAAGATCTAATTTTTCCGAGATCAATTTACTGCGGAAGGAGTTAGGATTTAAAGAATTAGAAGGGGTGAAATCATCAATAATGGAATTTCCAAAATTGGACACTTTCTCCTTAATTGAGGCAGATAAATTATTTATTCTATTTTTAGGCTTAGCTAGAACTCGGAAACAAAAACTGATCAAGTCTAACCATAAAGGGGTTGAGGAGAAATCAGAATTCAAATTATTTATAAGAGATGTGAGGAATTTTGAAATCGACTCTCGGGCAGCTATGGGGATCCTAGATAAAACTGGGGGTTTAAGGGAAGTAAGGAATAAATCAACAGAATTTGGGGAACGACAATCAGGACTAGGGTCATACGAGTGGGGAGATCTAATAGAAGGATTTGGGAGAGACGGGAGGGGGAATTCTCGGGAATTAAGGCAGGAGGGTGAACCATGTTTCCTAAAAGTGCCATTCAAATTAAGTGAAATTATTTTTAAGCACACATGGCAACAAGCGTTTACCATGATGTAACTTTGGATAGTAGCTTAGCTGAAAATAATAGAAAAAAAAAATTGTTTGACAAAAGTTAAAAGAATACTAAAATGCTGGTAGAGAGAATCATAGGATAATTTGAGTCTTAGGGTATATAAAAAAATTAACTTATTGTATAAATGAACGAGAGGATTAACTTTGTTCAAAAAAATAATAGCATATGAAAAGAAAATTTATGATTAAGGGAAAAAGAAATAAATAAATAAATGTATAATATAAGAGTTAAATTAGTTCAAAATAACTATATGATTTAAAAAGGTTAGGTATATGATAGAATGATTTATTGGTAAATTCCAAACAATGTTATTGGAAATATATAATTTAAATTTAGAAAAAAAAAAAAAAGAGGTTTGTTAAAGCAATTATGATAAGCAATTATGGTTTATTAAAAATGTGAGTTAGTAGTATCTAGATTCATGAATATTAGGGGTTATAAGATTGAGTAATGTTTAAAATAGAGATTTACATTTAAAATATTATAATAAAAATAAAATTAACTGATTACGAAGAAGGTATCTGAATGTTCAAGATCTTGACAAAAATAAGATAAATATTAAGTTCTGTGGACCTTAATTGGTAACATGTCTAGGAGTATTTATTTGATGATGTAAATTTGCATGGAATATTTTGAATGGGCAAGATTGTGGAAATTTTGTATGATAGGTAGTATTGTAGAGATTCAATATATTTAGCTTTGGCTATTGCATATACATCATAAGATTATGCATGACATATTTTGAATGGACATGATAGTGGGAATTTTGTTTGATGGGTAGTATTATAGAGATTCATTATATTTTTGCTTAGGCTATTTCATATACATCATAAGATGTGGTAGGCTTATCAAACGGTTTGTGGATAAGATGAAGGGATTTCATAAGATGTGGGTGGTATTGAGGAGATTCAATATATTTTGGCTTTGGCTATATACAAGATAGGATGTGGTAGGTTTATCAACCAGTTTGTAATTAAGGTGAAGGAATTACAATGGTAAGCTAGGCCTTGAAAGAGAGCGAGCAATCAGGTGTTATATATATGATTTCTAATGTCGTCAATGAATTTTTAAAATTGTGACTTTTGCTTTATAATATTTGATAGTCGGCTCATATGGCATTATTATTTTTTTTAAATTTGATTATAAATTTTTTACTAAAGTAAATCTTTAATGGCAAATATTCGATTTATATACCAATATAATATAATATAGATATTATAATTGTATTAATTATTATTTATAAAAATATATTAAACTAGACTGTATCGTGAGGTAAATTAGGTTATTCAAGCGTAATTAAACTAAACTCATGGAGAAAAACAAAGGAACCAAATGCCATATCTACTCTGGCTAGCTTCTACGTAGGAATAGGATCCATTTACTTTCAATCTTAAGAGGGGGAGGGTGGGCAAAAAATTAATAATATTTGTAGAATAAGAGTAAAAAATGTAAAAAGAATTTTAATTTATTCATGCTGATTTTAACAAAGTTTGGCTTTATTATTCATATTAAGGGTCAGGATTATTATTGTACATTACAGATCTAAGATTAACCAGTATTTATTTGTTATTTTTTAATCATGATGCCTCTTTATTGATTATCCTTGGATAAAGATTATTAATAATAATAATTTTATATATATATATAGGGGAGATAGGGGTAAAGAGATTAACGGGATAGGTTAACGCAAATTTATTTTTAATTCTCGATCATAAAAACTTAAATTTGGTGTGAAAATGTATTTTTATATCTAATTTCTTACCTATGGTCATCTTTTTAAAATCTTCTCAGTTTGTAATATTCTGCGAATAAAACTGTTTTTTTACCCAAAAATTATAAAATTAATCTAGTATATTTTGTTTAGCAAAATATATTTATGTTCATGATTTAAAAATTATTTGTATGTTCCTTAAAGTCATAGTTATAAAGTAAAATTTATTGGAAGCTTATAACTTAACTGGAAGTCAACCAATAAAGATTTGTTTGATATATATCTTGGAGTAGAGCTGTTATTGGTAAAACGGTTAAAATGTTCCGTCTGATTAAAGCTACTAAAATAATTGTTCTATTGTAAATACACCATATAAAAAAATATTTTTGAGCAAAAAGACATTAATTATTAGTTTGTGTTTATATGGAATAAAAATTTTGATTATATTAGCAAAGGAGAAGAATGTATGAAGTGTTTAAAATGGGCAAACTCACATTTTTGATAATTTATATATATTCCCTTATTATATTGATTAATTTATATTTAAAAGTAATAAATAGATGTCAAAATTGCATTTTACCCTGCGTGTGGTATGGGGTAACATGGTGAAAATGACAATTTTTACAGAATTAATTATATCTTCTAAAATATTATAGGTAGAGAGCTGCACTTTGTATTTTGTAATGAGAGATGGGCTACATATAAATTTATAATTTGTTCTGATTTTCCTTTGTAGAGAATTAGACCATAGTAAATTAGAAATTTTGAAAACGAAATTTAAAACATGGGAATTATGCCAAATTATACAATGATAAAATACTCAAGGACCAATTAGAGGATGCTATTTTTAAGCGAAAACATATAAAAAAAATAAAAACCCGATAAATCAAAATCAAAGGGATGAGGTTCTTTAATAAGTTTGTTAAAAAAGACAAAGGCTATTTTAGGTAAAATGAGAAATTTAAATTCAGATCCATATTTCAAAATATAGAAAATGAATCATCTCGGTGACGTAGAAAAAGATATATGGAATATTTTTTATTCATATTTATATATTTTTAAATTTTTAAAGATATCGATGACATTAAATTTGTCACATTATTTTTAATATATATATTATTAAATTATTTATTTATATTCATAATAAAAAGATAAAAAGTCAATTTTATTTTGATAATATATGAAAAATTGTGCCGTTAATAGAATTTGATGAAATTAGCAGAAAATATAGAAAATTTATCCTTATTTCAAACCATAAAATTTTATTGAATTAATAGAATTGATAGTTTTATTGCTAAAACAAAAAGGGTATCAGTTTAATTAGAACACAATCTATAATTTTTATAAATGATTTTAAATAGCTCTTTTATAATAAAATATAATATAATGTATTTTTTACAAAATATTCAAAAAATATTTTGCCTCAACTCTTTGTATAAACAAAACTTCGCCTCTATTTTTTGCCTCTTTTAGCGTGCCTGCTACTATTTTTTTTAGAGTAATACCGTGATTCCTTGGTAAATTTAGAACTACAGCACTGATTATTGGTTGAACTAAAGTTGCACCTATATCACTTTTTATTTTGTAGATGAGGTAATGAACTGCATATAATTTATAATTTGTGTTTTTTAGGGGATGGAAATGCAAAATTCTGATCATTTAACCCTAGCCCCCCCCCCATCTCCCACTATAGACATTAATTAACTACTCTTTGTTTATGAACTATAGACAATAGACAGTATGTTTACATTTATTCGATCATAACACAAATAGCTAGATATTATATTACATATATAAAGATATTAAATTATCTAATAACAGTCTGATTTAAAAAAGGATTTGGATTTTGACGATATGTTGGATTGGTATTATTTTTGCAAGTGGGTTTTTTGGAAATAAAAAATATATAAACGAGGAAAATAATGCAACCAGCCAAAAGGATTGCTATTGTAACAGCTGTGATTATCATACTATTTTCAGCCAATCTCAAGGCTCTATCAATCTTGTACAAAGATTCACCTGTAGTCATAGACATTGAGCTTGTAGATTCTTTTAAAGTCGATGGTTCTTCCGAGTCACAATCTTCGGTGTGTTGAAATTCGAATAACGATATTCCTTTAAACCTAATCGGTGTGAAACAATGTGCCAAATTTAGATCTTTGGTTTGAATAAGAAGTTCATTACTTGTTAGGTCTTTGAACCCTTCATTTATCCATTTCACCAATTTGTTTATATGACAATCACAGTGCCAAAGGTTATCTAAATAATTTAATATAATATTTAACCAAAAACATCAATTTTTTCATAAGATTCTAAAATTTAAATATATGTTTAACAAATTTTTTTTAATATATATATATATTATGCTTGCATATTTAATGAAAATTAAAATGACTAATATTACGATAATTTTAAAATTAAGTTAAATATCAATAATTATATTAAATTATATTTTATTTATATTCCTCAGACACCTTCATGGGCCTGGCCATGGCTCATAGGCTTATACCCGGCCCATAAACCGCGTACATAATATTATTTTTTCTTAGGGGGCCTGGACCAGACCTGAGTTTCTGTAAAAAAAATTAATGTGCTTGAGCAAGCTTGGGCCCAAATTTGTTTATTTTAGTTTAGTTTATTTAAAATAAAACAGTTATTTACTTAAAAAATATTGCAATTTATTTCCTCTAATAATAATAAATTTCAGAATTGTAAACAAAATGAGCCTAAATACATTTAAATATTGTTTATTTTCATTAAATGCAAATAAATTAAATTTTTGGATATGGACTTGGGAAAAATTTTTGAAACTTATTATGGACTTGGGAAATTTTTAATATTAAATATGGGCCAGACAAGGCCTAAAATTTTATTTACTAGATGCCTGGGAATAAATTAAGTCCCATGAAGGTCTATGACTTCTACAATGAAAAGAATTATTTTAGCCTACCTATAAAACAAATCAAAAAAATAAAATATTAATGAGATTATAGATAAAATATGTTCAGCAAAATTTTACTTGCTAATCCTAGAAATTTAAGAGTTATTCCAAAGGTTTTATCGGATATATAATCAGATATATTGTCAATTGTTGAGAGATTATTTTCTCTTAAATTGAATTTTTTGAGTTTAACTAAATAACTAAGAAATATCATGGAAATCATTTTTAAATTGTTTCCCGATAGGTCCAAATTTTCCAATTTCTTCATATTTTTTAAATTTTGGTAAGGAATTTGCTCTAAATAATTCCCACTTAGGTCGATGGAACATAAATTGATCATATTTACCAGGGAATGGTTAGGAAGAGACGATAATTTGTTATCTGCCAGGATCAACTCTCTAAGTAGGCTTAAAGACTCTATCAATTTAGAAGGATAAAGCTTTATCTTGTTGTTTTGTAGCTTCAAACTGGTTAAACTCCTTTTAAAAGCATAAATATCAGAATCCTGTATTAGGGCTATTTTATTATTACTTAAATCAAGCGTATCTAATTGAATTAAATTAGTAAACATGTTTTCGTGAATGTTTGATAAATCATTATAGGATAGATCGAGGAATTTAAGTTTTTGAAGCCCCGTAAAGGCATATTTTTCAATATTTTTAAGCCCATTGGATCGGATTATTAAATACTCTAACGAATGATTGAGAGACAGTTTTTCGAAGGCATTAGAATATATTAAATTTATCTTAGACTCTTCTAGGTTAATATAAGCCAATCCCGAGAATGAATATGGAGAAGAGTTTTCGTCCTTCAAATATTGTATGTGATCACTCGTGATTGTCAAATTGCGCAAGATTTGATTCAATTTTGCCAATGATTTCCATGGAATTTTTTTTAACATATCACTTTGTAGGTGCAGAATTTTTAAATTCTTCTCCAATCCCACGAATGAATCTTCGTTTATAATCTCCATATTCCGCGATCCCAATGTAAGATGATTTAATTTTACACCTATATTCCTGAAAGAATTAGGAGGAATAGATTTCCAATTCGCGAATTCTAAATGCAATGAAGATAATTTGGGAAACAGATTATCTTCAGATCCGTTTATGGCGCTCACAACTTTATTAAATAAAATTTCCCCATTTAAATCATTATCCTTTTCTACGATAGTCAAAACTTCTAAGCTGTTATTTAAGGGTAATAAAGCATGATTAGGAATACTCATTATACCAGAATCTTTGATTATTAAATGAGTTATTCTTTTAAAACCATCAAAATATGATTTGCTAGAATTTTGGCTAAGAACTCCTAAAAGTGGCAAACGAATATGTTCTAAGAATAGTATTATATGTATCTCATTTTCTTGAACTTTGGCCGTTACATTTTTTAAAATATTTAGACCATCTTTTTTGAAAACCTCTTGTTCTGTGGCATCTTCGCAATAAACAATTATCAATTCATCCGTGGCATCGACATTTTCGATATCTTTGTATTTATTAGCTGGGTACGAAAGAATAATAGAGGGGATATCATCCGTGTTGGTGATGCAATGACAAGGTTTTGACTGAAGGAGTGGACAATCTTGTCTTAGCTGGTAAAAATTAAAATAATCTAATTGCCATAACAAAAATACGAATAGATAAGAGGAAAACATGTCTATTCGGTAATTTATAATTTAATATTCAAATCTATCATAAAAGAAAAATATGTGTATAAACCTGTTTTAAAAAAATATTTTTCGAATCGCTATTTGCTTTTTAAAAAATTATTTATTTTAAGTTGAACACCTAGTATCAAGGTAAATATTTGATAAAAATTAATTTTTTATTATCATTATATTTGTAAATAAGCAAAATTTTTGTTTAATAAATAACACTTTGAAATATCCCGAATTTAAAACTTAACGTAATATATTTTTTAAATATGATTTTATCAATTACATATTTAACGAAATAGAATTTTTATATATTCACCCTTATCTAACTAATTATATTAAATGTCGGTTCATTTATTTAGGAAAATAATTTCGAGGCACAAAGCTAATTAATATATTTATAGCATATCCAGGATTTCGTTAAGGGAGGGGAGGGGGGAGGACACTATTAGATATTTTTTCTCTGTAAATTTTATTGGAGATCTTTAGGTTTACTTGTAGGCCTTTGGCTATATTAAATTTTTATAAAAATAATTTTTTTTTATTAAAATTTTTTTTAAAAGAAATTTTGAATTATAGTCGTTATTTTTAAAATTATTAACTTTTACGAATTTTTCTTTCAAATTCTTCCTTATAATGATATATTGTGTACATTCTTTGGGGGGATGTTATATTAGTTTAAAATAATACTTACCAGAATAGACAGGCAAATTTGCGATAAGGGGAGGGAATTCCCCATTTCCTCTCCATTGATTGCGCGTCTGGATGAATTTTCTATTCGATTTGCAATAGAGGTAGGCACGAGCCTAATTTTTTTTCAGGACCCGCCAGCTCACGTTGGAAATAAAAAAAATTTACGCCCTTTTGAGCCTACCACTAAAAAAATTTGACCCGACTCGTCCGCTCATGAAAGACAACCCGTCACGCCCGAAAATTTAGGGTGTTTTTAAACTTTTCAATTATTGCTATATTTTTACGCTTTTTTTAAATATAATCTATCATAGTTTTTATTTCTCTAATTCCATATTAATAACAGAATATTATAATTTATAAATTAAAATTTTTATTTAGAAAAAGAAGAAAGTCCATTTTTTTATTTCAATTTGTCTTTCCTCTAATAGTGATTGACTATAGAAAATAACAAAAACATATAAATTAAATTTATTAAAATTTCCATTAAGAATATAGCATCTTAATTAGCTATAATTATTCTGATTTTCAAATCACTCTATGGCTCTCATTCGGGTGAGGGGGAGGCAATGTTAAATTTGGGCATTCTTCTCGTAAAAATTACAATCACATAATATATACCAAATAATAAATAGCATATTTAATAATATTTTGGTAAAATACTTAATATAATTTATTTCAAGAATGGATAAATATTATTTAAGAGGATAGTTTTTTGAAGAACTAAAGCCTTTTTAAGCCTTTGACATTCTTCCAGGCTTCCTTTTTTAACCTAATAGAATTTCGCCTCATTTGGAGATGTATAAAACTATTAAGCATTTAAAATTATATTTTTTTAAATAATTGAGTACACGAGCAAGAGTTCGTCATCCAGTCTTCGTGATTAAACAAATTTCATTTATGTTGGATGCAACTTTTCGAATAGATCAACAATCTATGTTTTTGAAGTTCTTCGGTGTAAATAATAATATAAAAACAATAATATGGTCAAAAATGTGTAACGGTGCTCAATGATAAAAAATATCTGGATAGCAAAAATATGAATAAATTTTTAATAAAAAAATCATTTTTTTTAAATCATTTTTTTATTAGTTGAATACCTTATTTTTAAATTTAAAGTCGAAAAACGACATTTTTTTTACCATAAATGATATTTTATTTTTCACAAAAAAAACCTTAAATTTTAAAAATGAAATAAATATATATCAAATTGGATATGTATAAATATGAAAGAATCTCCATAAAAAGTTATAATTTTTAATATAGAAATTATGTTTTTATTAGTAAATTTATTATTTATAAATTCAAGGTCAAAAACGCGTTTTTTAACATCCCCTTAAACAATTTAATTAGGCCTGCAAAAAGTCAACAATTTTTATATACGCGTCAACATTTTGGATAAGTATACTGATATCATTTATAAATTAACATATTAAAATATGTATTTTATGTCTGGAAGTAGTAAACAGCATCTTTTTTATATATCGCCCGCTAGTGTTGTTAAACGGCTCGTTTTGAGCCAATTTCTAAAATCGGCTAATTCAATATTTTAGCCAGAAAAATATTGCCTAAGCCTCGAGATTTCGATAATATATCTAGATCTTTGTTCTTTCCATGAGCAGAATCTTCAGACTTACGTAAATTTTTCTGGATAAAATATTAAAAATCGGCTCAAAACAAGCAGTTTAACAACACTATAGCCCGCATTAGGTTTTTATTTGGCTTTACCCGTCATAAATTATTTTGTTGGATGGCATTTTTTGAAGGTTTTTTGATTTTACAATTTTTTCTGAAAAAATTTAATCGTAATTATTATTTTTAAATTACTATTACATTCCTCTGTCATTAATGCGACTAGGCCACCCTAATTTTTTAACCTTTAACTTATATAAATGTTAATAAATCAATTGCAGAAAGACAATAAATAACTTCAGGTTTTTATTAAAAAACGATAAAGATCAGATTGTAGGAAGGAAAATATCTTGAGGTTTTTACTCAAAAACGAAAAATTTAGATTGTAAAAAGACAATAACTTAAGGTTATTATTGGACAAATTTGACTGTAAAAAGATAATAACTTGAGGATTTTATTTAAAAACGGAAAATTTTAGATTTCAGAAAGACAATAGGGAAGACCGGGGATATAATGAACCCGGGGCTTTATTTTCTAGGCTATTAAACTCTAAGGGATAATTATTTTTACCAAACTATATAATTATATAATGCATATGAGGTTATAATATCAGATAGCTTGAAGAATTTTTATAATGCATTATATGATTCGTACCTGTAAAAGTAACTTTTTTAAACCTTTACTATTTTTCAAAAATAAAGATTAATATATATATTATTAATACCCAAAAATCATCTTATATAAAAGAAAAAATCCTATTTTATAGAATATCAACCCCTCCCCTCCGAAAAAAATTGATATTATAAATACTTCAAAGTATGATCTTAATCAAAGTGGTGGCATTGGGGCTATTTTTATGAGGTTAGGTCAAACCTTTTACGGCCTTTTTTCAAAATTTTAATATGGTTAGAAATTACGAACCCAAAATCAGAAAGATTTCTTAAGAAGAATTGATAATGATATTTTCCCAAAATAAATCATTAATCAATATTATGAGCATTACAAACCTTAATTATACAACAGTTAAGAGATATAACTCAAGATTCAAGTGAAAACAAAATTTTATTTTATCAATTACAAGACAGATTTTTAATATTGAACAAGAGAGACAATACTTTAAAGTATTTATCAAAGCAGCAAATATGTATAATGGGCTTTGCCCTAAAAGTATATTTATTAATAAATGTTAATTGTTCATTCATAATTAATTTTAATAAAGGCCAGAAAATAAGCTTGTCAACTTTCATGTGACTATAATATATAATTATTAAAATCTTGGCATTTCTTAAAAGAAATCCCTTTATATCACTGAGGAGCCCTAAAACCAGCCTTGCAAAGGCTACTAATTTTAATAGAGGATAACGTATAAATTTATTTTTAATAATCTTAAAAATATTTTGGATGCTACAAGACTAACTCCAAATGAGATCTTTAATATCTATGAAACAGGTAAAATATTGATTTATGTAAGGCATTTAAGAAGAATTAGGCATAAAATAAAAAATTTATATGCAAATATAATATCTATAATATTAAAACCCTACTTTTTAATCTATGATTCATTAATTTTTTGTTAAGAGAGTAGTAATATATGAATTATCATATGTTCATCATATAAAATTCTATTTTAATATTAAGAAATTACTATGCAATTATTATATGAAAATATTATTATTATAGGTTTAACAACTGTTCAAAAGCCTGCTAAAGTTTCCAAAAACAAGTTGGAGCCATCATATCAAGTGAGAAGGGAACCCTTACAACTGTAGCGATTGCAGTCAATGCACTGGTCAAAACCACCAATGTTTATATATCGTTGGAAAAAATATTATGTTATGATCACTTATTAAGAGATGTACCACTTGGTGTTATTAGCATATCAAATGATTCAGGCTGGATGTTAGAGGATGATTTTTTAATTTTCTTAAATCATTTAGCCAAACATGTTAAGCCTATAAAAGATAGAAAGGTCCTTATTATATTGGATATCACATTTCTCACCAATCCATAAAAGTAATTGGCTTTTGTTTGGAGGAAGGGATAATATTATTAACTCTCCCACCACATTGTACCCATAAACTACTACCTTTGGATAAAACAGTGTTTGGCCCAATAAAGATATATTATAACTTTTCAGTTGACTCATGGATAAGAATAAATTATGGTAAACATTTTACAATATATGATATACAAGGTATTTCTCCCAAAATTCTACCTTCAGCCTCATCGTGGCGAGGGAGTGGCAATGTCTTTTGACGGCTAATGGAGGTCTAAAAGGTTCCCTGTGATCTGGGTCTAGAATAGGATCACCGTCTCCTCGACGGGGTGTAAAAACCACTTAAAGAGGTTGATGTCAGGAAGGGCATCCGATTGTAAAAACCTTGATACAAAATTTCCCTATGGTTACAACAAAGCATGGGCGGGGTACAGCCCAAAGTACCCCGTGGGCCTCCTCATCCGCCTACGACAAAAAGGATGGGAAACCTGGTGGAACTGTAATAAATTAATAAAATATTATTTATAGATATTATATATAAAAATAGAATAGTATATTTGAAAATTAATTAATAAAAATTTGATGTTTGAAAAAAATTGAAATATAAATTAGTAGTCGTATTGTTTATAAATTAGTAGTCGGTATTACTACAAATGGCGACGATAAATGGAGAAAATAATTCCTTAAATGGAGATAATAATTCCTTAAATGGAGAAAATAATTCCTTAAATGGAGATTCAAAAAAAATAGCGGATGTAGCTACGATTAAATTTGATAAATTCGAGTTGGACACTTCAATCCATCGATATTTTTCTCAATGGGAAGCCAGTTTTCGGTTAAAAAACGTAAGCCCATCTGAATGTCAATATAAAGATATATTTTTAACATTTTTTGGCAATAAGAATATTGAGTTAGTGGACCGTTTTTGTTATCCTGATTCGATCGAAACTTTATCTATTAAAGAAATTAAGTCAATATGTTTTAAACTATTTAAACCGACGTCAACAGCTTTTGCTTCTAGATTTGATTTCGTTAGATTACGGAGAACAACTGAAACCGTAACTGAATTTGCAGATAAAATTAGAACAATTGGCAAGCGTTGTCATTATCTTAATGATATTGACGAGCGTTTACGTGATCAATTTATGGTTGGAGTGGAAATACCGGGATTGGAAAGAGATCTTAGAGCTCTATATCCCTACGGTCTTGATAGAGATAATAATGTACTGACTTTTCAATTTATTCTTGATCTGGCATTAGCTTCTGAGCGAGCAGATAAAGAAATGGCAAATAAAAATATGCCTGTTATTAAATAAGATAAATGATAATAACAAAAGAAATGATAATGATAATAATTATAAACATCCAATTAAAACGACGACTACATTTGATAAAGGCTATAATAAAGTCAAGTATAATAATACATTTGATA